TACACACGAAAAGTATCCCGCGAAAAAGATGCGCCGAGATACCTAATAGAAATCAAATAAATGGATGCATGTCTAGGGGTCCAGCTAAAGAAAAGCGTGGTTATTGTTATCAAGTATCCCCGAGACCCTCAAGATCCATTCATAGCATATGAGACTGAAGACAAAGAGAAAATCTACTACCACTCCACTACCTCACGAGGTCAGCATGTACGGTATATGATATAGATCCTCATCCCCTCCCATCTCATCCCCTCCCATCTCATCACTCAACACTACAATACTACAACACCAACCCCCCTCCCGAAAAAACCCCTTCCTTTCTTCCTCCCCTTCGCTTCACATCCCCGCCCATACCCATACCCATACCCATCCATACCACACCCTCACCTCTCTGCACATCTCCAAGCTCGAAATGTCTCCTAGTATCACCATCCCTTCCACCGAGATCAATCTCAATCTCAAGCCCTCTGACCTTACTCACCATCCAATCCTCGTTTGACTGTGCAGATACAGCTCAATACCTAAGCAGAGTTTCGAACCCACGCAAAATGATAGCCCGCAGGTTGTAATCATGTAGTCAGCCATATTCATCATTTCATTAGTATTTCCAAACTTAGCACCTCTACTCATATTCGTATACATAGATGCCCAGTACCATCAAGATCTGAGGTGCCTTTACACTACACTCCACAACTACAAATTTCCCACAATACGCATTGATGAGACGATCAATAATCGATAAACAAATATATTATTCTAATTCTGATGGATTTTCCATTTACCCTACACCCAGAAATAATACCATACCATGCCAACGCTATGCTATTCAAAAACACCCATTCATCATATCCATCCACCCATCCCCTCATGAATCTCCTTCTTCCAACTATCTCTACACAACATTGAAGATTTCAATCCCATCCATCCCCTTCCTCCAAAACAACCTCCCCCTCAAGGCCAACCAAAAACATTCAACACACCCGCAACATTCCACCTAGTCCCCACCAACACAACCGTCAAAGTAATTAACTCCACCACCCCAAGCACAGCACCCGCCATCATGAATTTCGGGCTAAAGATGCGATACAACATAAGATGTCTTCTCAACCAACCTGCCCACATGGTAGTAGCCAATGCCATGACTGCATAGTAGAGAATATGCCATGCCAAAGCAGCGGTAACTGTCTTCAAGAGTCCCATCTTCTTTGGTTGTTGTTTCCAGAAGACAATGAGGGGAACTGCGGTTGCGGCAAGGATTTGAGGACCGAATGAATTGAGAGCGACGAGTAATGGAGACCAAGGGTAGCGAATTGTGTGGAGAGGAATAAACGCGGATTCCCATTGGATAGAAGAAAGAGTAGCTTGGTGACCAGTTTTGAAGAAGTGGAAGGAGCCCAGGATGGCGAGCATGATTGGCCCAATAGGAGAATTGGTCAAGGAGTTGAGATCGAGAAACTCTACTAGCGAAAGAATTTGGAGAGACATGAGAGAAAGAGCACCGAATCCCACAGGCTTTTGAATCATGAGTACTGCTAGAAGCACGTTGGTAACAAGAAGGAAGTATCGAGCACCATGAGTATTGCCATAGCCAAGAATCATGACCCGAGTACCTTGTTGTTTAGGGGCTCCAGGAGGTAGAAGATCACCGATCGAAACAGTACCAATAGCGATACAAGGTGGTGCAAGATAGAACGCAACAGACCCAGCACCCACAACCATAGCAAGAACTGTCTGAGCAATCGGTACTCGAATAGCTTTCAAGGCACCTTCATAAAAGTCAGGTAACCAATTTCCGTCATCAGCGGCATCTAAAGTCCAGAAGATAGCAATGAGGAAGAGCCCGAATCTAAAAGCTCCATCAATCCAGAGTGGCGCAAACCCTTCATAGGAAAGACTAGTTGCATAGTAAGCTTTGATGAATGCCGGTAAGGAGATTGCGAAAAAGAATGGAATAAGTAATTGCCAAGGAGCAGAAGTTGACGATGTGGCAGAGGCATAGTATGTAGATCTACAATAAGGCATCTGTTCTTCTCTGCACAGCTTAGAGTACGAAGCAATCCAAGCAAGACCCATAAACACGAGAGAGTGATACACTCCCAAAGTGCGGCTGCGTACTTCCGACTGTCTAAGCGAAGAAACAACACCAGCGACTCCGAAAGTTGTAATGAAAAACAACAAGATGGAGTCTTCCCAGATAGTGTAGGAATTTGAGGCAAAGCCAATCGACTGACTAATTGTGAAGACGGTTGCCATCCAACCCCAGAATGTTTTTGGGAAGGGATTGCCAATATTCATCAATGACAGGAGAGCTCCAATAAGTCCACCGATGACAGCACCATTTAGACTCAATTCAATAACTTGTCCCTCAATAACTTCTTCCAAAATGGTGGCTTTCATAGTCCAAAGAGCCAGTCCCACAGCACCACCAACAGCAGAGGCCAGAGAAATCGAAAAAAGCAAGTTTGGATTGATTTCCTCATCTCCAATATCTCTTTCTCCCTTTGCATAAGCTTCGAGTTCCAATTTGGCTTGAGCTTCGTCAAGATCCGCTGATTCAGGTTCATTGCCATCACTAGCATTACCATTGGCATACAATACCAAGGCTAATACGCTAGCAGCAAGAATGCAAATACCCAAAATCATACTAGGAACATCAAACCGTGCCCAGAGATCTCGACAAATTCGCAAAGTCTCTGTTTGATAGGCAGTAAATGCATGGTAAATTTCAGTAGACTTTTGAGATGATTTAGAACCCTGAAATTTTTCGGCTGACAACCAAAGAGCAGATGGAGAACCATCAATAGTGCTCTCTTCAATACCTCGAGCATCAAAGTATGCACGTTGGTATCTCTTGATACCAGCAGCTGTCATTCTAGCCACATTTGCCAAATTTTCCCATGCATTGCCTTTCTTGCCTGCAAAAGCTTCTTCGATAGGCTTTCCGAGGTTATTGAAAGGAATTGGCAAACCCAAAAGCAGTGCAAGTGTAGGTACCAAGTCGATTTGATTGACCGGACGTGTCTTTGCGTTTTGTGGTGGCGATGCAAAAGCTGGATCTGTGCGACCGAATATTCCTTTCTTAGAATACATCCACAATGCAGCTTCAACTTCATCGTCGCTCTCTCCACCATGATCACCTTTGCCATCCATGCCATGGTCGCCCATGATGACCAATAAAGTATCATCATCAAGCTTCTCCACGAGTCCTCGGATCATAATATCCATTTGCTGTAACTTGCTCGTCATAGCCGGATGATTTGGTCCATATCTGTGGCCCGCATGGTCTACACCCAAGTAGTGGGCAAACATAACGTCCCATTCAGCTTTCTTCTCTTTCGCGAGTAATGGCATGATATGCTCCGTAACCCCATTATCAACCGTGTGCAAATCCCAAACATTGAGAGAATCATATGCACGACTGATATTCGGTTCGAAGTATCCAGGGAACAGCGCAGTCCATGTATCATCACCCAGATGTACAATCTTCTTTCCAGCATCCTTCAATTGACCCAAAAGATTATCCTCTTCAATCGCGGTACCTGCAAAGTTCGAACCCGCATCCACAAATGTAGGGAGTGTTCCGGTCGTAAGCCCCTTTAATCTTTGCAATGTGGTTGTAGGTGGATCCGCGATAAAAGGCAATAAGAAAGCCTTGTTTGGTTCTCTGCGCGCAGTTTCGTACAAGAATGGTAATGCATTGTGAAAGGCCTGTGAATCGTCACCCGCAAACGGTACCGTGAAATCGTAGCGCAACGCATCCACAATCACTACCACAGCCCTGTCGAATGTCTTTGGATGCCAACATCCTCCCTCCGGTGTACCGGCTCCTTTATAATCAACACTTCTCGCAATTGGTGGTTCGGCGCAGGTAGATGATTCTTCCAAAACCAATCGTGTAAGTAGGAAACCCTTTGTGAAGTAATAAATTCCCACGGCGTGCATAACTCTATACATTACATATATTAGCACAATGCCCCTCCACAGCCCGCCTTAAGAGAAACTTACGCCAGCCAAGCCCACCATCCTCCAACTGCCCACCACTCCCTTCTCCATTTATCTCTCTTTGCCTCGTTCAACTCATCTTTCTTATCCTTCTTCCTGGGTACTTTTGGTACTTTAGGTTGTATTATGTTCCCATCCTTATCCAGCTTCTTCCCCTCTCTTAGTGCCTGTTCCTGAGCTTCCTTGCGCGCTTTTGCTCTCGCATATTGTGCTGCGAGCGAATCATGGGCGCCAGGTGCTGGCTTTGGATCTACAGTCTTCACCATTTTTGCTTGAGCTCGCAGCTCTTTGATTCGCCCTTATTAAAATGATAAGATCTTAATTGGGATGGACACTCCCAGAAGATTTTAGGTTCTTCAATTATCAAATATAAAGATATAACTATTCCTAAGTAAAATATTATGAAGCCATCAATTGAACACCTATGTTTGTGTAGAAAAGAAAAAATATTATTGAGGACAAATCATTCAATTGAAAGTAGAGAAATGATGAATGATGTGCATAAAGCTTCAAGATGAGCTATTTTTTTTCGAAGTGTTTCTCGGCTGCCGATTCGTTAGAGCTACTTCTAGCTCGGGAAATCCCCATACTTTCTTAAATCTACCTATGGGAAGCTTGTAAGCCATTATGGCATATCTGTATCTAGGTGTTGACAGAACGGTATTTGTCTTCAATGCGGAGACAGATCTCGTTGATTGGAAAGATCAATCGTATCCATTAAGTGTCTATCATGCGAGAACGTCGAAGCAATGGTCACATATTCTCCAAGAAGTCAGAATGTTATCACCAACACCAGATAGAGATTCAAGATTATATCGCTAACAGATTCCCATGTCCCTTAAAATACAAGTGATGCTCTAAAAGCATTTGATCATTCTTCATCATGGGCCCTTCCTTGTCCGTTCATTCTTCATACCCATATACCATCATGTTCCGCATTTTCTAACCTTACACATCTCATCAATCTATGCCAAAACCTTTGCAGATGATAGATTCTCTTAAAGGGCGAGGTTATAGGAATACTCGTCCTCAATATTTTGCGAGATCCAAAGGACCACCGAACTAAGTGATGTTAGCCTCCAACTCCTTATCGTTCCGCCACGAAGCCCATGCTTCCAACCAGACTAAACTGTAGAACTTACCTCAACATAACCCCAGCATTTGCTCCTACATTTGCAACGCCCATTCCCAAAGTAGGCCATTGTGCACCAGGCACTACATACTTCAAAACCAGCACGGTGATACCTCCAGCCAATCCTCCAGCCAAACTAGCAAACCCTAAGAATAGAACTACTCTTGCTTTCCAAGCGACACCACTTCCACTGTAAGAGAAGGAGTCCGCGGAGAGTCGGGACTTTTCGATTGAGTTGATAATGAGCATTCCGAGAGAAGAGAAGATGAGTGGGAGCCAATCGATAAATGTGATGTGAATTGGGGGATCAGACCCATTGAGGGCCGACTTGGACCAAAGAGCCGCATCGAGAAGGATGAAGAATGAGAGAGAGAACTATTTGTAGGTGTGTCAGTGGAGGCATTTGAAACACAAATCAGTCGCAGATGATCGAGCTCTCTCGTGAAATCGCAATAACAAACACAAAGCATGAGATTGTGAGGCCATCATACCAGAGCTCCCGCAGCATATACACCAGCCCCCTTCGCCGTGGCACTATTCATCCATTCCGGCTTTCTGAATTTCCAAAGGCGTTCTTCCGACATTATTACTTTGCGATTCCGATTATCTGCTCCTTGACCGTTACTTTCTTGCCTTTCGCTCCGCCTTCTCTAGATTTATCCTTTGGCGCTCAATTTGGCAATTACTTCTTGTCGAACAATATGTATCGACCGATGGCGCAACTCGTTTCAAATTTGTAGATGGATATTGTTGTTGGTGTTGCGATATGATTAGCTGGGTAGCTGTTTGAATAACAGTCAAGCTTGCGCAATGATAGCTTCAGCCAAGCCCGCTACCGCCGCGCGCTTACATTAATAAGAGTGTGATAATCACGTGCCGTGTTAGAGGTTTGCCTGGATTGGGGTCGTCGTTCTAGTTTTGTGTATATTGGGTATTTATGCTGAGGCAGTGATTATGAGATAATGTGGCGAATCCAAAGTTCTCTTCAGTCTCAAATTCTGAACATGATTGCTACTCAAGAAAAGTATCTACGGTATGAGTTGAATATACCCAAAAGATAGACGAGTCCGATCCAACTCAATACCCAATGCTGGTTATAAAAAGATAAAAGCTAAATAACCGCATTGCATATCAAGGACATTTCTTCCCTTTTCCACAGCCTTGAAACTTTCGATTGTGAAAACACCTCCTCCGTCCAATCAACCACTTTAGCCGTGAAACAACTGTGACATCGAAAGCCATCACCACATGACATATCCCACCAGCCTCATCAGCCCTCTCCAGCTTCCCCTCCAAACGATTTGCCATGCGCCGTCTGGCGCCTTAATGAGTTTATTTCCCAACGATCAATACAATCCCCAGCCAAAGCCAATCATCCCGTGTAACCCCACGGTCGTTTGGGAGGTCGACTCGCCAAGGTTTTAAGGAGCTAAAGGGATGATTGATCGCGACTAGATTATTGGATGGAATGATATCAAATGTCTGATTGTGCTTGTTCCGTTGCACGGGGAGCGCAAGATGCAGGTTTATAGGAAGCTAATGTATGGTTATAAGATTTGAAACGAAGCCACGCGAGGTTAATTTTGACCTTGGATGAAATTAACTTTAATAGATACATAACGAGATGAATACTTTGTAAGACTTTGTAATGTGTGGTGAGGATAGGGAAGACCAAGGCTTGAAAATATGTGTACGTGTGTTGCTACGCCGCCAACAGTTGGTAGTAATATGTATTTTAGTCGTAAATTCTCAGCCCTGAAGAAGCCTTCGTTCCCTTTTCTTGTTTCACAGGCAATAAATGGTATGACTAGAAGTTGAGGTTAATATTGATTGATCAACGGTTTTGTGATACCTCGAATTCTTGATTTTGATGACGGGTAAATATCTGAATGCTGATATACCATTCGCCAAGCATATATCGGTACTGTACTTTGTACAATATTCATCAGTCTGTGACGAGATTATAAGATTGATATGTTGAGATTACCCCTCTGATAATGGTAATCCTGGTGAACTTACATAGACTTCCCCTTTTCCGGAGATGTCATGCAAGTAGGAAAGAATGAATTAGCGGTGGAGACTCAAAGGGAAACCCCCATAATGATACATACTCAGGGATCTAGGGGGTTCAGGGAGCGACGCAAGCGAAATTTGATGGCAAGATGAAATGGACATCTAGAATCGAATTGGAGACTTTGGGGCAGAGTGAGAGTAAGACTGTTGGACCAATGTGGATTTTGAAGGATTTCATGGTATGATATGTGATTGATTGGTATTTACCACAATATATATCCTCAGCAGCACTCGATTAGTTTGCATGCGTGTGTGTGTGTTAAACTCGTGGCGAAGCGTTGCATATGAATCAAAAGTTCAAGAATAGAATATCGAATAGCAGAGATAGGCTAGCTGACTGTATTTTTGACTTGGAGGTATCATCCATCTGAGTTTAATGTTGGGCTTCTGTCTATTTTGATGGAACGATTCAGACATCAGATACAATGCGATTAAGCCAATCTCATAAGAGTAGTAATCTGCAATTATCATATGGTATCATGACTTGCCATTGATGCATATGGGATATCGCCAACATCGTTATCTTGATCTACTGAGAATCTCGGATAGCATTGTCTATAGACTGAATGCACTCTTTTCTTTTTTGCCATTGTTCCCGTCGTCATCGAACAAAGGATTGTATGTATGTACGGCAGGAAGGTAGATAGAAAGAATCCCCTTTTGACTAACTCCTTTTGAAACGATAACGAATTATCTATTTATTTTACTTCTCCATATATAGTATTTAATACACGTATGGATACCCCAAACATGCATGAAATAAGCCACTATTCAAACGAATGATTCACTACTGTTGAGTGCTTCGGCTTTTGATATATTAGATATCACAATATGCACTATAAATGTTGAATTGAGTGGATGAGAATCATGAGATTGAAAGAAGAAGTACAGTACAAGATTTCTTCTAGCTATTATAGTTTTTCTAGTTCTTCGACTCTTCTTCTAGATCCCCTCGATAGTTCTTCTAGTCCTTCTTTATTGTTTATACCAATCTCGGTACACCTGTCTACATATACACATATAGACACCTATACATACACATATATACACAGATACATATATACACAGATACATATAAATACACACATGTATACATATCACTACCAATACCAATCAACACCTCGTCACCACATCCACCTTCTCTCCTTTTTTTCTCCCTCCCATCTCCAATCTCTTCTGTACTTATCGCGCTCGCTCACTATCGGCATTTTTTCTCAAGGGTCCCACCCAAATTTCGGCTAGTCAGCTCTCTTGACGTTGGGATTGGATGACTGATTGATGGGATTGATTGATAAACTCACTTATTACCACCCAGACCAGGAGACCAGAACAGGAGACCAGGAGGACCAAGGAGGACCAAGGGCGGGTTTCAGGGAAGGAAGTACTAGGTAGTATAAACTTACCATACACCAAATTCAGGGCAAAGACTTTAGGTGCAGATTGTAGTGTACGTACTAGGTAATAAGTGAAATAAGTGTAATAAGTGTAATAAGTGAAATAAGTGTAATAAGTTTACAATAAAAGTAATCAAATCAAACCGCGATTTGATAAATCTTTTTCACGACTTTACCACTTTACTTACTCACCACCACCACCACTTATTTACCTTTTACCACTTACTACTTACTACTTACTACTCACCACTCACCACTCACCACCACCACTCACTCACTCACCCAGTCTTCCAGTCTTTCAATCTTTCAACCTCCCTATCTATCTATCGATTCAATTCAACTCCAATTCCAACGTCATCTGCATCTCCATCTCCTTAATAAACCCATATCTCCAGAACTATCTCTTCTCTCTCCTCTCCACACGGCGCATAACCTCTCAATATCAACAACAACAACAACAAACAAAACAACCCAAATTACCACCTACCTACACACGTCAAATCTCTTCAGGAAATTCCTCAACAACAGCTATCAAAACTGTGAAAGTTTCATCGAGTTATTTAAATAAGTATTTACAACAATACTTGAATAATCGCCAGTCATGGCAGGAAAGTAAGTCATCATTCAAAATTCCCCTTTTTGTCTGAATCCTCTGTTATCAAGGTTATCTCCCACCTCCAATTCGATTGACTTCAAATAATTCTGCGAATGATACTAACTTGGATCCCTTTAGCCCATTGGGCTCTGCCTTTAAATCTTTCTGGCATACTATGACCAGTTATGATCGTCGTATGTTGATACCAAAACTCCCCGAGAAACTTTAATCTCTCTGCTAACCAAAATAATCCAATAACCAGACTCGTCGTATGATTCTCCATATAGAACTGGCGGGCATGTTCCTCTCGCACAAAGTCGACATGAACCTTTAACCTCAGTTGCAACAACAGCTTCAGAATCACGCGCAGATTTGAATTCCCCTTATTTTGAAGATGCAGGTCGACAATCGACATCTGCACTCAATGGCAATGCTTACCCAAGTTCGCCATTTGCTCCTCCTGCAAGTCCAGGTCCACAATCCCCATATTCACCAGGAATGAGATCATCTACACTTCAGCGACAATCTACGCAAGAAAATTTTGAGAATGTTACACCAGGAGAAATTCAATTGCAAGCTTTCCAAGAGGGTCTCCCTCCACCACCACCAGTTGGACACTCTTGGAAGAGAATCGATCGATGGGCCGAGGATAATTATGAAGAATTATTCGATCAACTCTGCGAGGGATGCACAAACAATGACTTGAATGAATTGGAGCATCAATTGGACTGTTCTCTTCCGATGGAAGTTCGAGAATCGATGCAACTTCACGATGGACAAGAACGTGGTGGTCTACCTACGGGAATTATTTTTGGCTCCATGTTGCTTGACTGTGAAGAAATTGTACAAGAGTGGGAAAACTGGAAAAAGGTCAACCAGGAATATCTTACAGAGTCATCTTCTTATAGACCTTCAATTCCACCAAAGGCATTAGGTGGTAGCTCATCTTCGTCAGCGAAGCAACCTGCAAATGCACAAAATCCCTACTGGAGACAAGATTTATTGGCCCGCCAGGATTCTCAACCTCCTAATGCTATTCAAAAGGTTTACGCTCATCCCGCTTGGATTCCTCTCGTTCGAGATTGGGGTGGAAACAATTTGGCAGTTGATTTGGCACCAGGACCAGCTGGTAAATGGGGTCAAGTTATTCTATTTGGTCGCGATTACGATTGCAAATATGTCGTCGCACGATCATGGTCCGCTTTCTTGGCTACTGTCGCAGATGATCTCGGCAGTGGTAAATGGTTTGTGGATGAAGAAACCAACGAGCTAAAATTGAAGGAATTCAAGTCAGGAAAAGTTGAACCTGGTTACTTTGATATTTTAAGATGGAGAATGGATCAGAAGTATGGGCGCAAGAATGTGCGAAGAAGATCGGCGCCACCCGTCAATGGCAATGGAGGATCCCCGTCTGGATCTCCTTACGCAAGCCCAGCTGCCGAAATTGGTGAGCCACGCGGACGTTCTATGCAACGTTTCTCAGGAGCTTCACCAATTCCAAGTCCAAATCGTCCTGGTTATGGAAAATCAAGTCCTTTAGCTCAAGTTGCTGAAGAAGGTTCCGGATCAGGAATGAAGGTTAGCACCATAGATATTCCCGCTACGAAACTTGTCGATGTCCAAACCCCAAGACCAAGTGAGGAAAACAAATCTTCGGACCGACCATTTATAGAATCCGAATCATCTAACGAGAACAAAGAAAATGAAAAGGCTGGTGAAAAAGTTACAGGATTGGGACTAGTCTCAGGAACTTCTGAGAAGGAAACCCATGCTGATGATGAATCTGCGATGAAGACAATTGAAATCTAATGCCAATGCCAACATACTATTGAGTTTGTTAGTTGCATTTTGGGGATTCTTTCGCATTGCATGAGGCGTTTGGGCGTGCGTTGGTAGAGATTCATAATAAGAAATTTGAGATTCTTTTTTTTTTTTTTTTTTTTTTTTTTTCAATCTTGTCTCAATGGCATGATATGTATGGCTGCGTGGAAATGTAATGTTCCGTGAGCTAGTTTCTTCCTTTATGAATATACAGTTTGAGGGATGGTTTGTGGGAGAGAGAGAAAAAGGGTAGTTAGAGCGTATATTTGTGGATGTGTGTATGACGAGCGAAAATTCATATGCGATTGCGATGGGTGCTGGAGGGTAGGTAGAATGTTGGGGGTGTAGGTAGGAATTGGATGTATGTGGATGGGATGTGTGTGGATGGAGTAGGGATGAATAACAACTACTTACTTACTTGCTCGCTTCCATGTTGTTGAATGCTTGAAATGTGTGAAAGGGTTTTGATAGTTTTTGATTGGGAAGGATATGTGTGTGTATATATGGTATGGGTTTGATAGTATAGACCTCTGAGACCTGCTTGAAGGGGTAGTGTGGTGGTGGTTATGATGATGATGATGATAGGAATAAAAGAGAGAGGAGGAATAGAAAGTGGGAAGTAGGAAGTAGGTGGGAAGGAAGAAAAAGGAAGAAAGCAGTGAGGGAAATGGGAAGAGAGGGGGAAGAGATAGTGTGTTTGTGAGGAGGGTAAGGGAGGGGAAGGGAGGGGAAGGGAGGGAAGGGAAGGGAAGGGAAGGGAAGGAAAATAAGAGATAGACAGATAGATGTGTAAATGATTGGATTGGATGGATGATTGGATGGATGATTAAATGATTGATTGGATGAATAGGGGGTGAGTGCAGATATATATATATATATTAGTAGTAGATAGATAGATAGATAGATATATACATATATTGTTTTTGTAATTATTGTAACTTTAAGGGGGGATTATCTTTATCTGATATTTCACTTTGAATGTGATACTTCACTTTGAATGTGATATGATATATATGAGATATACAAGACATACTATCCTTCTCATCTTCATCTTCATCTTCATCTTTGTGTTTTGTTTTGTTTTTGTTTTTTCTATTGCCTCATCGCCTCTTCATTGGGGCTTGGGATTAACAGAGGGGAGTTGGTTTGGGGGTGTGGAAGGGTGAGGTGGATGTTGGATGTTGGATGTTGGATGTTGGATGTTGGATGTTGGATGGTTTGGGGTTGGTGATGGGGGTTGGATGGTGTAGGGTTTATCTTGGTTTGTTTGGCTGAGGTGGTTGCTGAGGTGGTTGATGTAGTTGTGATTGTGGGAGAGAGGAGAAAGAGGGGAGAGAAGGGAGGGTATGGGTAAATGGAGGGGTATGGAGAGTGGGTGGGATGGGTTGTGATGGAGATGGAGATAGAGTTGGAGTGTGGATGTGGGTGTGAAGGAGAGGCGGGAAGAGAGGGGAGAGAGGAGGAATGGGGAAATAGGGTTTAGGAGATAGAAAAGAAGATGATGGAAAGGGGAGAGGAGAGAGGGGGGAGAGAGGGAATGGGGTACAATTACTGACTCGCAGTATTATGAGGTTCGAGTTTGGGTTTGGGAACTAATACTTTGGAAGACCGTCTTAAAGAGAAATGGAATTACTCGAGTAGTTGGTGAGATTTAAAAGGGGGAGGGGGCGTTGTAAAGAGGTGTATGAAGGTGAATAGAGTATGATTGTAGATTTGTTGTGTAGATTTGTTGGTATGCGTTCTTTACAATGAGGTGAGGTGTATAGATATGAAATGAGAATGGGGAAACTGGGAGGGAATCAATAACTAAGGAGTGGTCGTCTCACTACTGGCGATCAGTATATCTTCACTGGTATTTTCCATGTCGATAAACATGAAATTATGAATATGAGCAGAAACATCAGAGAACTATGTAATGAGATCTGAATGTTTCTGGTCTCTTGATGGTCTCGAATTTAAACGTTCGTGGTTACAGTCATCAAGGGATTTACTGTAGACAAAAGCGTTTTTGGCGAACGATGCTAAGCGATTGAAATATAGATTTAAGTATCCATCATAAAAAAAAACTGTGGCTACCTCCAGGGCTATCTAAGAAAAGGGAGGCAAGTTCAAGTTTTTGCTTGCCTTGTTTTGTGAGTGAATGGCAGTCCGAAGCTAGGTACAGAAGTGAGGGCGTCTCGTCGCTTCCTTCATCCAAAAGCCCCATGAATGCGAGTACCCCCAAACCACCAGGAATAATGCGCTTATGAACAATTTATTGATCTTATTCAGTAGTTCGTGGGATTCGCATGACTGATCGCGTACATGTCTTGAGTGGGCTGTTAGGAGAGCTTTCTTAGATTCGTCAACTCCATGAGCTTGACTTGAGGTTGTTTGTGTATGACCAGTGAGCTCTGAGCACTTGTCTGATGGTATCAAATTGTAACTTTACATAATGATGCTGATAGAAACAGTAGAGCGCCCAGAGTCCTCATGGTACCGTACGAGTAAATATTATTGTATGCAAAGGAGACTTCCACATTAGACTCGAGCAGCTCTTCAAGACTGACCCAAGGAAATATGTCGAGATCTTATTGAAATGTGTTTACAGAGCAACTTCAGATTCCCAAATATGGAATAGTACGCAGGAAAGTCAAGAAATCAAACGTGTAGGTAGTAATAGATAATTGATCTATCAACCATACGATACTCAAAAGCTGCGCTGCAATTGTATGGCTGGAATTCAAGATTGTTAAGAAGGTTGTTATTGGTGAAAGAAAATATATGACTAAGCAAGCCATCATTCTCCCACCGCCAAAATTCTGCCTTGTGCCCTGCCAAAAAAAAAGTCTCGATTGGAAGCATCTCGAAGTTAGTAGACATAAATAGACAAATTTAATAGTCATCTCATACAAAAGAGAAGAAAACTTTTTAGATACGATCTTACTCAAAATTACAATCTTCTCTTGATCTCATCTACTCTTTTTCGAGAAATAAATATTTTCTTGTTCAATATACTATAAACCTTTTCGGCGCAAAGCAATTTCACCTGCCGATTCTCGACTTTTCGATCATACGAATTTACAAAACTTTCAGTTCTAGAAAGAATATAGACATCTGCCATCATGGCCATGCCACCAGCAATGAACGAACTCCTCAAATGGAGCGTAGAGAACTCTACTGCCACCGCCGCCGATCCTAACGCACCCCCTCCACAAACCAGAGCCCTCCCAGCGGATGCCATGAATGTGTTATTTGGTGGTCCCAGTGATGCCGACCTCATGAAGGCTTCCATATGGGCTGTTCAATCTACCGATCCCGAAGTCACTATTGAAGACAAAGTTATTGCATTTGACAATTTCGAACAACTTATTGAGAACCTCGATAATGCCAACAACATTGAGGTACTCGAGTTATGGAAACCTTTATTGGAGTTTTTGGAACATGAGGAAAAGGAAATCAGGAAAATGGCTGCTTGGTGCATAGGAACAGCAGTGCAGAATAATGAGAAGAGTCAGAAGTCTATGTTGAAGGAAGGAGGTGTGCCACTTTTGGTCAAGATGTGTGTCAATGAGAAGGAGGAGAAGGATGTTAGGAGAAAGGCTGTTTATGCTTTGAGTAGTGCGATCCGAAATTTCCAGGAGGGAATGGATGCTGCGACTGAAGAGTTGGGCAAATTGGGAAGAAGCAGTGAGAAGATTGATGCGGCAGATATGGATGCCTGTGATGTCTTGATTGGGGGATTGAGGGAGGAGGCTGCAAATGCAGCATGAGGATGAGATATCAATGAGGTTAAAACGATTGAGGGATGGGATACGAGTTATGGCGAGAGTTACTACGTCACATGGATGAACTGGGATGGAGTTTTGGAGTTTGGTAGATTAGACATTTGGGAATGACGCCGGGAGATTGATATTGATATTGATATCCTCCCAACCTTGTTAAGGGGGGAGGGAAGTTTCATCAGGACTTTCGGAATAAGATTGCCTGCCACCTCACTGAGGGCTTATGATAGGAAATGCATGAAAATTACATGTACAATTAAACATTTAAAGCTTTATTTGAAATAAGTGTTAAAAGTTAAACAATACACGTTGAATCCCCAATATAAAACGAATTCATGCATAAATGCAAGTTGGTTGATAGCAGCAGACAAGTAATCATCATCTGAAGCTTTACCCCACCAAGCCCCTCAATTATTGCATGATGCTCACATGTCGCTCACCGTATTGAACAAGTGTTTCCAACCGTCAAATGGCTTTTGTCTTTGACTCTCGGACCAGCAATGTAATTTCTTGGTTCGACACCAATGGGAAGTTGCCTCTCGCCGTTTTTATTTCAGGGGGCGGATGCTGTCTTGCTTCGGACCTTCGTATATCTACGTACGAAGTATACGTAGGAAATTGAGAGCGATTACGAAGGATCGAATTAGGTAGATGGATATTGATCAATAAATAGGTAGATATTTGGTAGATAGATATTGATCATTAAATTGGTAGATATTTGGTAGATATGGAAAGTAGACTTTGCTAGTTCTACAAGTAAATAGAGCACATATACGTATGTCAAGACAACTTTACGGGAGATATCTTGAGATGCCTGCTTGGCAATCGAATATAAGACTCGTTCACTGATGGTATGGTAAGAAGTTTGAGGTGATCAACCAATGATGGAAGAGATATTGCATCTGACTGAAAATCTAACGCGCGTCTGGTGGTGGTGGTACAGGAGACTTGAGTAAAGATGTAGTTGTCATCGCAGACCTAGGTAATCTCATGTGACATTGTAGCCTCATCATTTCCAAGAACGGGAATGAGAAGTTATATGTTCGGAGGGTTGGTACGATATACATCCTCTTCTATCTACCTTGGTAGAGTCGGTGTGACCTTGAATGACCCTGCTTGCATGGGGGTTTGATTCAACGTGGTTGGAAAAGGAAAAAGGGGGAAAGGGGGAAGATTAAGAAGCTACCCAGTCCAGTATTAGATACTTTGGCTGAATGTTAATGCTCCTGAGGAACAACGAATGGATGAATAGAACACGAATAGAGGAACGGGTAACTTGGAAAGCAGAGAAGTTGTCCCTATCCTATCGACACCGACTTCTTCCAATTCACAGCCACCTGGATTTTTCTCGTACCTGTTACCTATCCTACCTATCTTATGGGAATAAATAATTCGGAATAGTTACATGCTGCTTTTAATCCTGAATGTATGAATATATATACTGCCCAGGTGTATGTGAGCATCTGAAGCTATTTATATATGTATATATATATATAATAAATGCCCAGGTAGATCCATCCATTACCAATTTACCATCTCTTTCCTTTCTCTCCTAATCGTAAAATTCACTCCCACCAAGTCTCACACATCACCTCCGATCCCCTCTTTCCCCTTTCTACCTATCAAATCCTTCTTCAGCATTCTATTTTAAAGCGGCGAATACCGAATAAGATCGCTTCGCCTCCTGCAGTTACGGCCCACATTCAAACTTCGTGACATCGTCCTTTCCCATTTACTACGACCACGATCACCAATTCTTTTGACAAAACAACAACACACCTTCTTCTCTTTCAACCATCTTCTTTTTTATCAACCACGAATTAACAACGTCGTGAATCTTACTTTAATACAAAACTCCATCATTCTCGAGATCTTAATTATCACGAGAAGTAACTCACCGCCATATTCCACAACTCTTTTATTTGACTTAACGTCTTAATTTATCAACCATGGAAGGTAAGCTTCAACCCGACATGTATATCGCACGCACATCCTTTGCGCAGCTATCGACATTATCATGAGCATCTACTAATATCATTTCTCAATCAACAGAAGAAGTCGCAGCCCTCGTCATTGACAATGGGTAAGCTCCCATCATCCCACAAAATGGTCGTGAGCCTCGAAAGACAGAGGGGTAGCTTTCGGAAGGAATCAACAACCGACCGAGAAACCCCAAATCTTCTGCAAGGGCGAAGACTTGATAAGTAAGAAGAATGAGACTGATAGGTTCTGTAGTTCTGGAATGTGCAAGGCCGGTTTCGCCGGTGACGATGCTCCAAGAGCTGTTTTCCCTTAAGTAGATCATCCTTGCAGGCAACTGTTACAACCCACCGCTTTGATTTCTATCAGAATATATCATCAACAACTGCCTTGATAATGATGAAACATCTCTAACATGCAATATAGCTTCCATTGTCGGTCGTCCCCGTCATCATGGGTAAGAATTCCATTTTCACGACACCCCGCCATTTCCCCCACAACTCGTGTCACCCGAACAGGAACTGATAAGGGATATTATAGTATTATGATTGGTATGGGTCAAAAGGACTCATATGTTGGAGATGAGGCGCAATCCAAGCGTGGTATTCTCACCCTTAGATACCCAATTGAGCACGGTGTTGTCACCAACTGGGATGATATGGAGAAGATCTGGCATCACACTTTCTACAACGAACTTCGTGTAGCACCAGAGGAGCACCCAGTTTTGCTCACTGAGGCCCCAATCAACCCAAAGTCCAACAGAGAAAAGATGACACAAATTGTCTTTGAGACCTTCAACGCCCCTGCATTCTACGTCTCTATTCAAGCCGTCCTCTCCCTTTACGCTTCCGGTCGTACCACCGGTATCGTTCTCGATTCCGGTGACGGAGTTACTCACGTTGTTCCAATTTACGAGGGTTTCTCTCTTCCTCACGCCATTGCTCGTGTTGATATGGCTGGTCGTGATTTGACTGATTACCTAATGAAGATCTTGGCTGAGCGTGGTTACACTTTCTCCACCACTGCCGAGCGTGAAATCGTCCGTGATATCAAGGAGAAGCTCTGTTATGTTGCTCTTGACTTTGAGCAAGAAATCCAAACCGCCAGTCAATCCTCCAGCTTGGAGAAGTCATACGAACTTCCTGATGGACAAGTTATTACCATCGGTAACGAGCGTTTCCGTGCTCCAGAAGCTTTGTTCCAACCATCTGTCTTGGGTCTTGAGAGCGGTGGTATCCACGTTACTACCTTCAACTCCATCATGAAGTGTGATGTTGACGTTCGTAAGGATTTGTATGGTAACATTGTTATGGTAAGATTTTCCATCTGCGACATTTACAGGACGTTAAGCTAACATTTTCCTACAGTCTGGTGGAACTACTATGTACCCAGGTATCTCCGATCGTATGCAAAAGGAAATTACTGCTCTTGCACCATCATCGATGAAGGTCAAGATCATTGCACCACCCGAGAGAAAATACTCCGTCTGGATCGGTGGTTCTATTTTGGCATCTTTGTCCACTTTCCAACAGATGTGGATCTCAAAGCAAGAGTACGACGAGTCTGGACCTTCCATTGTCCACCGCAAGTGTTTCTAAGGTATGCAATTATCCCTGGTTCCCATGATGATGGGCCTACACTAATCGTCAATATTATAGCGTATCACGGTCGATTTGTGTTTACATCACGAACTTCACGAATTTGATCCAAAAGAAGATTCGAACAAAACAACAAATCCCAGTGTTTTGTTTCGCCGCGAAGCGTTGTTCCGAAAAGTTCTGGTAGCGATTGAGCGACTGGGTGGACTCTTTCGAAGTAACGGATGGGCTTTGATCTAGCTGACTGTTTGCTTGGAGGAGGAATTCGAAATGTCGTATCAATCATACAAAGCTTTTTTCTTACTTTTTAGTGGTGCCAACTTCTTCATGTGTTTTTGAGCTGCACCATTTTTTTTGTTCTTCATTCATAGCGCGAGAAAGTTTCTTCTCTAGAGAATCAAATTAAAAGGTAGTACACTGATTTATAATTGAGTGCACTCAGGCTCTGAGAGAATGTGACTTTATGCGTGTGATGGTATGATGTTGTGTGTCTTGGAATGTTCATGATAGATGTTATAATAAATTATGCCTGTCCTTAAGATAATTTAAAATGGTTAATCCGTCCCTTATCTCAAATGCTTGCCTAGCTCTGCATCGCCCAAGATTCCTCAGCTGCACCTTGCAGAGCGAGTACTACTTCGCTGATGCATTCCTTTTCCCTCGTTCATATCCGAATGGCACGACTTCACTTCAATGATTTGTACAAACATAACTGTCATTCATTCACGGAGCACCTTGTGTGTCCTATAACTTACATTATTCGTAACCATTCTTTCGCTCTCCAATCTCGAAGCCATCTGTTGTCTTCTTGTGATGGCCATGGGGTCTGGTACAAGTTTAGGCTTGGGCAGGAGCTTCGACCATGGCATAGTCGCCTCGCAATCCTCTTCGTATTCTGCTATGATGGTCCTGTCTGCGTATTGGTTAATATTTGCGTAGTATTGGTCAATCGGTGACGATGGTGAGCATGGTAGTTCTAGAGAAGATGATGATTGTGGAGGGGGCGTTGAGCGAGGTCTTGGTCGCGCAGAGCTAAGTTGAAATGTGAGGTAGAGGATTGTGGATGGGGAAGTGAGAGAATACATCCACATATACCCACCGAGAGATGGAATGATAGCGGCTCTAGGAGGCAAGACACGGAAGGATTTTGAGGATCGTCTGGAGTTCAACAATGCTGGATCGATGGAGATTTCGAGGGCGAGAGTGGAAATTTGGGAAAGGAGCCAGCCATAGAAGGGCTCGGTGCGTAAAATATCTTCAGACATTCGGTTGCTGATTGGGAGAAAGAGTGTATCGAGACAACGATGAATATAGAAAGGTTTGTTGCGGAACGTCTGGACAACATATTCGTCGAGGCAGATGAGACGACTTTCTTGAGTCGTGAAAAGAAGGGCTGGAGGCGGTCTGCGCCGGGGATATTGCGCTTCTTGTTCATCTAAAGGGGGAGATTGTTAGTTGATCGTAAGTATGCATATTTGACAAGTAAAATTGGCAAGCACACCATTGGGAAAATCTAAGGAGGGTTCTAAGACGCGGGGTAGGATGGCTAAGTGCCATATCTTGTAGCGCAGTTCTGTGGGAATACTGGGGAATAGATGGAATTGGGTAAGTGTAGGTGAGGATGGGTCATCATGATCTCCTTGGTGAATGTCACTGCTTGAATACAATCGTGGGAGTAAGTTGTGCATTTTTGAGGCTTATTTTACTGTGTTGCTATTCTAAGGAGGCGTGGCGTGATTATTGTCGTCGTATCGTAGAATCTGGAGTATATATCAAATATCACTTGATGTTCACACTCGCTTAATTACTAATGCCACGCGGTGTCTTGAAGCTGCGGCCGAGCTTCAGCGTATTGCGTGTCTCGAAACCCAATTAATCTCCAAGCCCTCTATAATTTATAGCACATCTGCGAATGGTATGAAACAAATCGGAAAAGTAATGCGATCTCAATAATATAGGATATGTCAGGAAGAGGATATGGTGGTCTCGGGGCCGACCCTTACATGAACGGCAATTCTACTGGATATGCGAATGGAAATGGGAATGGGAATGGGTATGGAAATGGCAGCTGGAATGGGAATGCAAATACAAATGCAAGTACCTATCCGGGACAAATAACTGAAGATGGAGACTATGATCCCTATGGCTCCGGCATCGATCGATATGCCACTCCACCCCCTATACCAGAAGGACTTCGAACACCATCACCTTCCATGCCTCGAACACCTCGGTCGAGAGGTCTTTCACGACCGAGGGAACCAGCTGGTAGACCAAAGCTAGAGGAAACCAATGCGGAGAAACAGATTGGGGAAGTGTTAGAACACATTAAGACGGAATGGCCTGCATTGTGTCAGAACGAATGTGTGCCAGTACAATTGGCATTGCAACTTCTAGACACGAGTTCAGTTGGCAAGGCTCATGAATATGCGCAATTTCAACAATCGATGCAATATTTACAAGACTCTTTGAAGAATATCGTACATGAACATCATCAGGGATTCAACAGTTCGATTGGTACCTTTCATAAGATTCAAACGAGTATTCAGACATCGCAGAAGAGGGTACGAACATTGAAAGATTCGCTCGCACAATCGAAAGCTAATCTCTCGACTACCGATCCCGAATTGAGGAAATTAGGCGCGGCTTCGACGACTTATGATGAATTGCTACACACGCTCTCGGAGGTGGAGGAGTTACGGCTGGTTCCGGATCAATTAGAAGCACGGATTTCAGAGAAGAGATTCTTGACTGCGGTAGATGTTTTGCAGGATGCGCTAAGGAGAATTCGATCGCCTGAGCTGGATGATATTGGAGCTCTGAGTGAACTGAGGACTTATCTCGCCAATCAGGAAACGGCCTTGACGGATATATTGATTGAGGAACTTCATGATCATTTGTATCTGAAGTCGCCGTACTGCCAAGAGAGATGGCAGATGCTGGCCAAGACGCAAGGTGGTGCTGCGAAGGAGAAGTTTGAGAGTTCAATTACAGTGAGACCATTCTTTGAGGTTCTTGATACGATGGATTTGGCGGAGCCGATGGTAGAAGATGCGTCGAGAAATCCAGAAGCGGATACTTTCTATTATGTGGAACTATTGACAGAGGCATTGAATAAGCTGGGTCGTTTGGATATTGCCGTGAATACTATCAAACAGAGACTTCCTGTCGAGCTATTTGGTATCGTCAATGAGACTAATAGCGAAGTCGATCAAAAACATCCAAGCTCTTTACGTGGTGGACTCGCATCTACACAAGGAAACCAGACGTTCTCTAGCCGAGAGAATACGATTCGTACCGATGTCATCTATGATCTATTGTGGACGTTATACGCAAAGTTTGAGGCTATTGCCGAGGGTCATCGTGTATTTCATGATGTGGTAAAAGCTATTACTAAAAGAGAAGGTATGAGGAATTCAGTCATACTTCTTGGTGGTTTCAGGGAATTATGGAATCTATACCAGAACGAAATTCGCTCCTTGTTGCATAATTATGTCACCACAGATGCGGATGTCTATCAATTCGATTCTCCCAGACCTGGTGCGTCAAAATCGTCCAAGTTAGAGAAGCTTTTCAGATTTTCGGATGCGGATGCTAAGTCTGTCTCTATGACGACTGAATATGACGACCTAGAGAACATCATTAGAGCAGCTGTACCGGGTCTTATGTCGAGCTCGAGGAAATCAGGTGCCGATGGTAAGAAAGCAAAATCTCTCTTGGAGAATTCCGTCGGCAGAAATGGAACGAAACGTTTGACTGGTTCTGCTTTCGATGCTAAAACGGGTGGTATGGGAACTCACAAGTCTTTGGTAGAGCCAAGTGTGTTCAATATGAGCCTGTTGTTGCCTCCTACTTTGAGCTTCTTACAGAGATTGAAGGCTATTGTTCCACCTGGTTCAGATTTGGTCACAAGTACTTTGACGTCGTTCTTGGATAACTTTCTTGTCAATGTCTTTCTACCTCAACTTGATGAAACTCTAGGCAAGCTTAGTGATTCAGTATTTGAGGAGACAGACGCATTCCAACAAGATGCACAATGGGCAAGAGTTGCCAGGCGACCTGTGTTCAAAGGCACAGCTGCTTTCTTCACATTAATCACAGCTTTCTGCAGGATGTTGGATACGATTCCACACGATCAAGCATTGAGTCAACTTATCATCACACAAATGATGAGATATTATGATAGATGTTACGACTGGTTCAAATCGCTCGTATCTCGAGTTCGAGATTCCGAAGGGTCGACATTGAAGCTGTCTGCACTGCTTGCTAGTGAATCTGGTGACATCCACGATACCATGCAGAAAATATGGACAAGTGAAGAAGTTGATTATCAGTTACTAGAAAAGGAAACTGGTCTTTTGATTCTACAGACAAATGAGAATCCCCTTAAGGCGGATGATGTTATATCGGATCGGGAAACTATCTCATCTCTTTGCGTTTTATATACCAGTATGAAATGGCTAGCTATTAAAATCGGTCAGCTAAGACATATCACGAGGAATGATGCAGATTCATCTCGTACACCATCAATGCAAAAACCACCGCATAGACGTTGGACTTTACTGAATGATCCCACGAGAGCACAAGACGAACAGGTCGTGGTTTATCTTCCTATGACCCAAGAGACTGTTGTGTAAGTTTTTTTCCTCCTTTCATGCTTCGTTTCACGGCTAATTTGATGTGCAGCGCATTCGATTCAATTGTTTCCTCATTCCAAGAACTAGCCGCTACCGTACTCCTAACTCTGCATATGGAAACACGCATTCAAATCCTCCACTCACTATCACGCGTTCTTTCGCCCTCCTTGGGATCGAATACTTACCCATATATTCTTTCTCAACCCGTCTCAGACCCTGACCCAACTATCCTTTCTCTTAACGCAGATTTAGTGGCGTATGATGAAACGATAGTGAAGTTTTTGAGAGAGAAAGAAATCAACTTTGTGAGAAAGGGACTGGGATTGTTGATTGATACATTCATGGTCGATAACGCGCCAAAAATCCAAAGAATCAACAAAGAGGGAGGGAAGAGAATGAGATTAAACGTACTAGTGCTGCAGCAAAACTTGAAGGGTGTAGAAGATGGCGTGGGATTGATTAGGAGCGGAAGATATTGGGGATTATTTGAAGAGGGGCCTGATGGGATTGTGGGCTGGGCGAAGGAGAAGGGTGGTACAAATGCTGGAAATGCGAATGGAGATGGGGTGGGTGAAGATCAGGAGATTAAGTTTACTTATGATGAGTTGAAGGGGTTGGTTGAGTTGTACTTTAGTGAACAGTTGGGAAGTAACGAGAGAGGAATCACGACAGTGGCTAAGAGGGGAATGGGAGAGTGTATGTTGCAGTTGAGTGAGCATATGTGGCAGAGCTAAATGGGGCTGGAAATGTCGGAAGAGAGGAGAGGAAGGAAGGAAGGAAAGACATAAAGGTGGAATAAGTTAAGCTTACATCAAAATCCTTGGGATAGGGTAATGAATAAATGGAGGACGGATGGATGGATTGATATGCATTTGGCGCGGAGTTTTTGGAGTGATGGATGGATTTGACCAGATGAAAGAGGATTGATGGGCAGTTGAGGAAATGTATGGTATGGTCTTAGGACTTTGGTGTCGTTGATCGCTAGGTGATGGTTTATAGGTGGTGGTTTATAGTTGATGGTGGTAATTTGGAACGCTATGGAAATCAAATCTAGATTTCTGGTATGAGTTCATTGAGTGCTCGTCAATCAGGGTGTCGAGGGTTCTATTCTTTTCTCTGAGATAGAAGAGAACCAACCTTGTAGATTTAATATTGAGTGATTGTGATTGTGATTGTGATTGTGATTGTGATTGTGATTGTGATTGTGATTGTGATTGTGATTGTGATTGTGATGGTGATGGTGATGGTGATGGTGATGGTGATGGTGATGGTGATTGTGATTGTAATGGTGATGGTGATGGTGATGGTAATTTTATGTCACTTTTGCGAATGGTATGTTGATTTGTATGTCTTAGTACAAGAGGGACTCCAGATTCACAGGTGAGCTCTTGGTCATTGAAAGAAATGGCTTCTGGTGCACACTACCGATTCTCGGCAAGGTATGGATGGAACATTACTACGAAATATTTTATCAAGATCTTAATTCAAATTATTGATAGGACATACTAGGGTCTATAAGTACTGGGTCGTAGCATCAATCAGATAGTATATAAATATATGTATCAAATATAAAATAACTTCAATTCAGTAGCACAATAACACAACTCCGGGACAATATCGTAAAGTCGATAGGGAATATCACGTGATATTTAATCATTCTTCTTTCAACGACAAGGTGGTCTTGGATGCCGGTGATTATGATGTATACTAGGTAGGTACTCATACTTTTCTAGGTATTTGATTTATTATTATATTTATATTTATATTAAATAATTTGAAAATCTCCTGGAAGAATTATTAAGATCACGATTCATTGAGTACACACAACTAACTAGGATACATAATTACTTGATAAAATTTAAATTTACGGTAAGTTACTAAATAAATAAATTTCAAGATTAATTTACTCTTCCCTTACCCCGCCCCCACCACATCCCAAAGTAAGTCTCACACAAAACTTCTCACACTTTCCCGCCAAACCTCGCATCGCACGCATCGCAGCATCACGAGCTTTTTCCCCTTCATATCTTTCCGCTCCGCCTGGGAATTTTATTTCGTGTTCCACATTGATTATATTTTATTTATCCTATTTATTCTATTTATTCCTACCCTTACCTCCTCTCATATATTTGACTGAAGGATACGCATACAATTGGAGCTCCTGAATACGAGAATGGCGCCCTCACCCCTCCAACAGAGAAGAACGCATAATACGCTACTTTTTCAGAAATTGCTGAATTTGAGAGATGGAGCTAGTCCGCTGACGCTGGTATTGGATACGTTGGAGCAGAGTGGGAGGTTGGTTGTGAGGGAGTTTTGGAGGAGGGCTTTGGTGAGTTGGGGGGGTTGTTTGCTTGTTTTTTTCTTTGGCGGAGGGGTTTGGTTTGGGGGGAGGGGAACTTAGACTTGGCCTTGGAGGGTTGTGTAGGGAGAATGAGGTTGGGATTGGGATGATGAGGAGTGAAACGAGGGGAATAGGATGATGGATGCTGTGTACGAGTAGTTCTCGTATTGTAGGGAAAATTTGTGTTGGATTAATGATCACGTGGATGGACGATTCGTCAAATCTCTCGATAGATTGTTTTTACATTTTGGTTTCTCGTCCGTCTCCAGCTGTACTGACCAAGATATACAGATTTCGAAATCAAAAGTCATCTTCATATCATTCTCCACTCTCCAGAAACGTTTACCATTTACTCCAGATGTTTTTGTCTCGGCTCACAGTAAACCACTTGCTCAACTTCGTCGAGAGATCGTAGCACATTTACCTTCGCCTACAGCTCCTCCTTCAGCCTCTCAACAGAGTATGTTTCTCTTCTCTTCTGGTATGGATAATATGTGAATCAAGTAGCTGATCTCATCCAGAAATCCTCCTCATAATCGATAATCTCCATCCACTCACAGCTCATCCAGAGCACCTCTCCCCTTTCCTCTCTTCCCTAATTATCCACCCCACAATCTCCCTGCTCTGTACTCACCACCTCGATATTCCTGTCCCCTCCTCAACAACAAATCCCTACATCCCCACTCCCCTCACAACTCTCCTCTTCCTTGCCACCGCCATTATCACCCCCCAAAACTTCACCCACGAATTAGCACGTAAACGAGCGCGCGACAAGTCAGCACGCGAACCTGAATTCGGCACCGCAGAAGGAAAAGAAGGTGTTCTTATGGGTTTTGGCAATAACGCTAGTGTCACCAGCGATGCGAAAAATGGGGAAATAGTCCTAATCCTCGAACTGCGACGGAAATCCGGGAGAGGAACTCGTGAAAATTTCATCTACACACCGCCTTCACATCATACCACATCTCCCACGACAAAAGACATAGGAAGCATTCAGCTTCTCGATGAGCATCCCGCATTCGGGGTCCCGGATATTTCGGATGTTGCAATGGGCAAGGATGAAGAGGAGGGAATAGAGGGCGATGTAACATTTTCCCTGGGATTGACCGAGAAACAGAAGAGGGATAGGGAGAATGTTGTACTGCCGTATTTCGACGCGCAGAAAGAGGGAGGGATTGGGAGTGGTGGAAAGATTCTCTATGAGATGGGGGCGGAGGACAGAGAAGATTTTGATGATGAGGAGGATGAGATTTAGGGGGGAGGGAAGCAGGTTTGATTTCCCGCTTATTTGGAGGGGCATTTGGATAATGATGTCATGTCTGGAATAAAAAGATCTTTGAGATTGAGATTTTTTTGATAGGTCGGGAGAATAGAAATTGGTACTCTCGGATTCTAGGGATTCTGTCCAGGTAGCTAGTGTCTGGAGGAGAACTGATATCCCGATGCTTGATTGATCGATGAATAACACTCGATATGGCCAGCAAAATGAAATACCTACAAAAACATAGCTCATGTTCAAAAAAGCTTGTGCAGAATTGTGTAAATAGTTGATTATATATCATGTCATGTTTCAATGTTTCAATGAATGATTGAATGAATGAATAATATAATGTAAATATAATGTAATCCTATCCTTCCCCGTGAGAATCATAGTACCGCGTGTCATAACTTATCAGTCTTTTATCGGGATTTCGAGTTGTAGAGATCGACAGGTGGGTAGGTCGATAGATAGGGAGAGAGGTTGTTGTGTATATATTAAGTTAAGTCTATATGGTGATGGAGGATCTGATCTGATTTAGGGGCTGCTAATTGGAGGATGGAGGCTGGAGAGTGGAGGTTGGAAGGTTGTCTCGTCTCGTCTTATTTCATCTCTTTTGGTTGTGGTTGTGTTTTGTGGTGGCTATGGCTATGGCTATGGCTGTGGGGGTGTGAGGGTATGAGGGTATAAGGGAATGAAGAGATGAGGGTATAAAGAGATGAGAATATAAGAATACAATTTTTATTAAAACATAAAATATCAAGATTTATTTAAACTAGTGATAACATTTGATGGGGTTGTGGGTGAGATTGGATAGGTTTGGGATTTGGGATTCGGGAGTTAGATTTTCTGTGATGGAGGGGGTTTGATTTGATGGAATGGGTTGTAGGAGTATAGTGGATTGAAAAGGTTCTTTTGATGTTGGGATGGTTGTGGAAGGTAGGGGAGGGGAGAGGGGAGAGGGCGGAGGTGGAGAGGTGGGAAATGGGAAATGGGAAATGGGGAGAGGAGGAGTGTGGAGGAGATAGGATGGATAGACGTTGATAGAAGGGCGGCGGCGGGGTCTAGTATGTGAGTATGAGCATGTGTTTGCTTTTATTTTTATTTTTATTTTCATTTTGCTTTTGTTTCTCCTTTTGTTTTTGTTATGATATGTTATGTTATGGTATGATATGTTGTACTATGTTATGTTATAAATTTTTTTATAGATGTGGAATTTATATACCTATCTAGAAAGATGTACTTTCTGTGTGGATTCGTATTCAATATAGATATGGGTTTCATATGAATACAAATTCGATCTATTCTTTTTATTATGGTATCTGTAAGTATGTATGTACGTATATATATATGTATATGTATAATCTATATATACTTATAAAGTTTACAAATATGATTCTTATACAACTTATATATAAGGGTGTATTATACAATTAAATCATAATGGTAATTTCATCACACAAAGATGTTTGAGATGGTCGTGGAGTATTTCATTATAAAAGAATCTATGGGGGGTTAGATTGGATTACGAAGTCTGGAGGAATGTTGTTTGGTGAGGGGGAGGGAATAAGGAAATGGAGAGAGCGGAGGAGGGAGGGAGATTCAAGGGGTGGGAAGTGGGAGGAATGGAATGGGAAGGAATGGGAAGGGAGGGAGAGAGAGAAGGAATGATGTATCAATATCGTATTGAAAAATGAGAACACACAAAACACAAAGAAAGAAGGAAAGAAAAGAAAGAAGAAAAGAATAAAACTCAGCGAGGAATTGAAATCACACACTGAGAACATACAAAAAAACTTCAGCGTATCAAAAACCTCAGAGACCAAGAAAAAAAAGAGAGTAAATAATGAGATCCGCGCCAACTTCCCCTTTCTCCCCAGATACCGACAGGGTACCTTTAACGATTTACCAGATCTGATCATTCCATCAATCCATGCATGTACGTATGTAAATCATTCACGACGACTGACGACCTAGTAGTTCAAACATTTCAAACATTTCAAACATTCCAAATAGTGATATTCATTATCAGATCGCCCTAAAAATTTAATACGTGTGTTACACTCCACCACTTAGACCAAGAATGAAGATTCCCAATTGGAAATTCCAGAAACACGGAATGAGAGGGTGGAGGTGGAGCGGAAAACACGGAGTGTGATGTATACGAGAAAAGTGAAGCTATTCGCTCTCTGACTTACAAACCCTATTGAAATTTTGGGGGGGGGGACTCCGAGACACCAAAAGACCCTTTTGAAGATCGTATCAGAGACCCTTCGATTCAGGGTCCTCCGATCTGTACATCTGTTTCACAATGGTGGTTTTGGTCTGCGAATCGACGCTATCTATTGCTTGACAGCTGCTAGTGTGCGCACTATATCTCATGAATCACCTCCTCCATTTACCGCTAGTTTGAGGACTGCAACAAAGGGACACAAAACAACACCGATACAATAGTACACACCAATAGTCACAATTTCTCCATATTTTCCAGAAGGTCTCTAGTGCCGTGTAATAATAAACGTTGTCCAATAATTTCTTTATATTATCGAGCACCGGTACAACATCCAAACAACAATCCAATAACAGTCCAATAGTTCTCAAACAAAAGCGGACACGTGGCTATAAAACGCCACATATAGGACCCCTTGTCGATCTCTCTTTATTTCCCCATCCACTTAGATTCGCGACAAAGTAAATCAAACATTCTAACGAGTTCCCCAATAAGCTAAACCAATCAAGTTTAGTGTAGCCACTCTAGTCTCAAGTCAAAGTAAGTCATCCCAATTTTCCTAACCATGGACAACATAATGAATCGACCCGAGCGACTCAGTGAAGTCAACCGAGATAAAGGCCTGGGGGAAATTCTGACACCAGCAGAATACCGCGATCGCGGAATCAAAGTGATCCGCGCCATCGAGGACGCCATTCACACCATTCTTCGTCAAGACACTCCATGTCCTGATTGGAACATCCGCTATTTCAACCCCGGTGGAGGACATGGGAAAGACAGTATCGAAAGACTCTGTTTCGGCGCCATGCACAACATTCTCACCGACCCAAAGCATCCTATCGACTTCGAAGGCTACCACTGGTCCGACTTCAACTTCCATTCGAAAGAATACACCAACAGGGGTTTTGATGCAGTCTGGCCACAATTCAATTGTGTCTGCAACGTGTGGGTATCTGCGAAGGTGGGTACAGTCATTGTGCAAATGTCAGATACGAAGACTGATCTTGACATTTCAGGACTAGACACACCACGTCTCTACAATAGTGAGCTCATCTACCAAGCTTGGCGCGATGCGGTCACTGCGAATGTGACAGGCGAAGCTTCCCGAGACAAAGTCGTGTCAAAACTTACAGATTTGAAGTACATCATCCGTGCGCCAATTGGTAACTTAGGAACGCTTGCCACTATGAGAGATGTTCTCCTCTCGCAAGGTGTCTCGAAAGACCAACTTGATAGTGGAGTGATGGTGAAGCGAACTTTTGACAACCCATCGAGTGATGAGTTCAAAATGTTAATGGGGACCGTAAATGGAAGACCCATCGGCAGATTGTGCGCCGATCACGCGGAGAGCTTGAACGGGAAACAGGTACAGAAGATACATGTTTGGAACGAATTCATACCATCCTTTGGCGCCTTGGTCTTCGAACTAGGCGAGGAGAAAGCTTTGACTGAACTCGAGAGAGTACAAGGCACCAGTCATAAAGGTAAGTCAACCACCACACCAGCTCCTTCACAAGCACCTTCACAGAACCCCCAACCCCCCAGTCTTCCCCCGGCAGCCCCAGCCCCGGCCAAAATCACTAGGAAGATTAGCGAGAGAGTAAAGAATTTGATGAAGAAGTTTCAAAAGTGATTCTCGGTAACGAGATAAGAAGGCGCTGGCGCTAAGATCTCTCAAATGTCATCAGTAGGCTTGGAATTTAGTTTGCTAGTCCAATGAAACACAAAACCCTCCAGTCTTTTCCTACTTTGGAGTTGGGATTCTTCTTTATGAAAGTATTCCCATAAAAACCAAAACAAGAATAAAAATAAACATTACATGAAAATATAAAAACCAGAACAGGATTTGAGGAATAGAATAGTCTTGATTACACATGTGATAGAAAGTCTCAGTGTTAAAATTATAACATATCGCCAATGCACTAGCAAAGTAAAAATGAAATGTCAATCACCTGACCAAACGCTATCCGGCCCAGGGCAACAGATAGCTATCTCCCACGGTGCTCACATAACTTATGTCAACGGAGTAGACTGCCTAAATGTAAAAGATCTCTCAACTTTCCATCTCTCCGCCCCCAATCTTCCACTACCTCTTGGTTCCCTCCACCAAAAATATCTTACACTAAGCCAGCAACTCGGCTACCTACCTGTGCTAAGATCATATACAACATGTATGTACCGCAAAAATTGACCGAGTGACATATGTACTGGATAGCTAAGATCTTTCATATCCCTCATAAAAATTTCATTGCGTCACGATCTGTTCCTTTCTCCCCATTTGCACTAGCGTATGAACATTGAAAATCAAGACAAGAACTCAACTCAACACGGAGGCTCCCTCTCCATCCTCGAAATTTCCCATTCAATCTTTCTCAAAAGAAATTATTGAAAAATCCATCTTTTTACATCTAAACACTCTAAAGAGATGAGAATAGCAACAGCAGTACATAGACAAAGCAAAGGATTCAATACCCAAGCGTGGGGAAATCGCGGCTCGAAGATTGCAGTATCAAAAATGGGGTTTGCAGTAGACGTATAAACAAAAGAAAGTTTCTCTGACCTAAATCTTCATGTTGGCGACGAGGCTCGTATGCACATCTACACCTGCATCTAATTATATCCTCAAGTTTTCTCGGATATATCATTAAGAAGTTTGTAAATCACGTGTATGTATATGCAGGAACTAGAGCAGTCCCATGAAGTTGATTGAATCCTGCAAACCCAGTAAATCCCGAGATTTTCAAACCCTGCCTATTTACCGAGGCGACACGGAGATGCCTCCATAAGAAAGATAGAATTCCATCCAAGTGGTATAGATTGCAGATATCCCATACTTATTCTCGATATGCAAAGAACGCCCTGCAGTACAAGCTGCACTGCAGTATCGAGCAACTATTGAATTCCGCCACAAAATATTCACCAAGCTCTCTCAGCTGGCATTGCTAAACGATGCAAGATTCGTAACATCTGACGCCACCAAGAAGAGGTCAAGAAACTAACGTGCATGAAGATGTGTACCTCCTAAGAGGGTAAATGCGATTGGCAGATATCATAACCTAATGGAGAAGCTGTATGCAGTGGAAGTCATGAAAAGTAAAACACCGCTGAACCATAGAACGCTTGGACGTGTAAAACAATAGTATACGAACTTGAAATTCAAGTTTCAAATGAACGTTTCTGTATTCTCACTTCGAAATTGTAAACGGGAACTCTGAGAAACGAGATCTCCCAAGGACCTAATCATACAGTGATCTCTCTAACCTTCTATTCTTTGTTTCTGTTATCAGATGACTTCTCATTCAACATAAACTCCATGACGCTGTCTGATCTATATTGAGATGGCCGTTTTTCCAGTGACACATTTGGTTATACTCGCGAATGTCAATGAGCTAGCATTTTTGTAGTAAGATTGATTAGCTTGACTAAAGACGGATGTAAACATTCAGCAGTAAAGTAACAAGGATGGCGAGATTAGAGGAGTTCACTGCATACAACGTGGTGTGCTAGTCCATTAATTTGTCTTACGGCAGTTGGCCTAGTTGATCTGCGAACCAGATCATGCAGGAGGGAGAGTTAATGCAAGTCCCTGCTCTTGTTTTTTTATTAAAAAAAGTCTAAGAGGTGATTCCCATAGCCGAAAGATATCTTACCATGAAAGAAATGCTATCTTATTAAATGAATGGATACGAATGAGAAGGCTCACGGCTAGAAGGGGTGTTATGATGGGATGTTGTGGAGTGAGGTATGTGCTGAAAAGGAAAAATTGTCAAGGAAGAAGAGAGGGGCAACAGGCTATACCGGCAAACACGAAGTGGGAAATTCCGCCCCACTCACAAAAGCGGAGTGGATTGAAAGGTAGTTATCCAGCAATCCAAAGTATCGCTAAACCTTCATCCGAGCTAAACGATGAAACTCGATAAATGACAGCGGTCGCGCACCGCGCTTTGACAGCCACAATATATTGAAGTTTCGGCTCTTCCCCTTCTCATTTCTGGGGTTCAATCCAAGTCCGAGGGCGAGGGGCATTTCTTGCCTTGTGTATACATGGAAACGTTCATGATATTCGGCCGGTGAACCAATTATACGAATGGTTTTATGTTTTATTTCCTGTTCAAGAAAGATTCAGTGCAACTGATTTGTAGCTAAAGTGGACCCGTCTCACAGTAGAGTTACTAAATCCTCAGATGCTGCATGAAAGTGGTACGATGAAGACTCTTTACCCTGTCTACTCTGCGTGATCAGACTTGAGTACTAACCATCATGGAAGAATAATTGGTTATTACCCATCAAGATTGAATATCTTCTTGAAGTTTAATCACTTCAACGTTGGTAAATGAGAATTGATTGAAACATATTGATATTAACAACAACGGTATATAGATGATATGATGAGATGCTTCATTTTACTTTTATGAAACGGTTTTTTAATGACAGGGAATCAGGTACTGGGCCAATTCCAAATTACCCCCATCTTCAAGTCTCCCCGATGGGATCAAATTCGTGGGGTGGTCTCAAACACTCATATATGAGTCCTGAGTCAAAGCCCTAAGCATGAGCAAGAGTAGTATGGTTGATACGGCCATGGACGTTTTATCTGCCGCGCCCTCAACGGATAGCGCGAGTAGGAAAAAATCAAGGTCTCTGGGAACGCAAACCCTCCGTGGCTCAGAGCATTAATTTTAGCAGATTCATACTTTGCTAATCTTCTTAAGACACTCGAGAATCTAAGCGGTAGCGAATCAAAATAGATGTGATGTTCGCAATACACACGAGATCAGTAATCTTCAATATGACGCAATGGCAGTTGTGATCGATCGTGTTCTAGCCAGGAATCTCTTGTAGAAATTGAAAGACGAACCTAAACGGTTGAAGTTTGCGAGTTAAGCAAAAGAAAAACATCCAAACGTGCATATTTCGAGAATTTTGGAATCTTACTTGAACCAATGCATGCATAAGACTTGTCACTTAAACCGCATGCATCAGTACGCAGTAAGGTCATGAGAATAGAAGCGAAAATAGACTTTCAAGGGTGAATCGGGTCTGGGAGCGGCCTAGCGCTCAGTAACTAATCCCTGTGTAATCTCTCAAATCCATGAAAATCTTGTTGGAGATTGCACTCTCTGATGACCCAAATACAATTGAAATAGGCCCTTAAAGGTTAAGACAAGCCTATGGAGCATCAAATGAAGAAAAGACTAAGCCGAAATTGGGCAAAAGCTGTACTGCCTCGTAAACTCGCGTTTGACCCGCATTGTCTGGTTGCTTTTTATGTGGTCGAAAGTGGCTTGTAGTGCGATCTTCGTACCCATCAATATCCCGTGATAGAGGCTCCGAGTAACATTGCCGTAACGTACAGTGAGGTCAATTGTGAATTGCATTGCCTGCGAATATAATGACTGCAAGATCGTGCATTGCGGGAAGAGCAGCCGGTAACAACAGTATGAGCATGTGAGATATGATTGATTGTGTTGACAGCGGTATTTGCATGGTTCGTAATCAGATGGTTGGGACCCTGTAAGGTTTCAATCTGCCTCCGCACAGACCTTGGTAGGTCGACGAGAGGATTCAATTCGATATGGGAAACGATTATAATGATGGACGTCTGTGCGAAAGCCTCCAAGAGCAGGGGGGCCTTCAGGTTGAGGTGAGACTTACATGGTAGGTCGCAGAGGTAATGTGTGACCAAGATATCTACTGTTTCGATTCGGCACCAAATGGAGAACTCGGGAGTCTGTGCAAAAGGTATAAGTTTATCGGATGAGACCCTTGGGAAGTTCGGGACTAGACTGCCTCTAATTCTAAAAGAAGGGAGGAGATAGTCAACCAAGTGTTTCTTACTAGGGTCCCGCGTAAAGTAGCTGGGTATATCCAAAACTAGGACGGAGAGAGTGTAGAGGGAGGAAGATCGAAAGCGATTTGAACCGATCAGACATCTTACGTAGGTAGGAATAGTTCTATGATGAATTGATCGCTTTTATGAATGCATACTTGGACCACGACTCTTAATATAGATTTATTCTCCATATGGAGTTGAATTGGTGATGTTCTTCATATTTAATGATGATTGTGGTTTGATAAGAGAGAGAGAAAATGATGAAGAAAAAAAATGAATGGATGCGTTGGGGTTTGATTAAATCTCGAGCTGTTAATGCTGTTGTTGTTGTTGTTGCTGTTGCTATTGCCGTCGGTATTGATTGTGATGTTATTGATGTTGGTGATAATGATGGTGATGATGATGATGATGATGATGATGATGATGATGATGATGATGATGATGATGATGATGATGATGATGGTGATGATGATGTTGATGTTGTTGTTGTTGTTGACGTTGATGTTGATGTTGTTGTTAAGAATGAAAATAGAAATGGAAATAGAAATGTTCGCTGGCGCTGGTCATCGATACCTACCTACCTACCTACCTACCTACCTACTTACCAGTCGCACAGACAATTTCTTACTTTAGCTGGGAGTACGGTAGGTAGTATGATCGCACGGTACTTTGACAAGAGATGACTACCTTACGACCTCACAACCTCACTACCTTACTACCTATTGCCTAGCTACCTATCAAAATGACCCAATTCCTGTCAGTCTCTCCTCCGTCTTCTCCTTCTCCTTCTCCTTCTGCCTCTCGTCATACACTCGTCGGCGGGGTAAATGATTCCATCATCCTGCGGGTAGCTACCGCAGTTCTATAATTAATTCAATCGATTTTGGAGACATTTTGGCTTCCTTATACTAAAAGGTGTCTTGTCTGTCTGTCTGTCTCTGCTCTGGTAGGTAGTATCAAATACCTTCCTGCCTTCCTTTCCTCCCGCAATATTGACCTCATCAATCAATTGAAATCATCCAACTAATCATCTTGCTAGATACTCATACCACTATCTCGAATCTCGATCTCTCTACAAACGAATGAAACGATCCTCGTGCAATTACAAAGGGAATATGCAGCCAGCCGTTTGTGAGACTTGACTAGGGAAAATACCCACCGGCACGACAGGGTCATAAACAAGGAAATATATGCGACAACCACATTCGATATACAGGATATACAAGATATACAGTAGAATGCTCGAATGCAGAATTCATCAAGTGAACGAGTCTCGAGCAGGTGATGCCGAAATGCACCTGGGCCCAACATCCACTTGTAGATCCAACCCACTTAATGTATTGCCATGCAATTTGATCTCATTTCTTCATAACCTTACTCAACCGGTTCGCGACTTCACGTTATCTTATCAAAGACGAGAACATATGCGCTCCACTTACGCATCGGCATCCATGGATACTTACGACTTCCCAACATCCATTTTGACGAAAAAGTTTGGAGATGCCGACCCATTATTCTCGCAAGACTGGACTTATTGAGTTGAATCCACGAGGATCTACCACCAACCAAAGTGTCGGGTCTCCAGTAAAGCAAGGGGGTGAAGAGTAAGCATTTCATGGGTCAATTGGATGGGTGACATCGTGAGAACGTCACTTGCAGTAGATTTGTGATGGCATAGATTTCGAGCCCCAGCCGTGGAGAATTCTGGTGAGATCCGTCTAGCATTCCCCACAACTAATCTCATACGAAGTTTGCATGGTTGGCGTCTCACGAATCTATCATCCCCCAAATCTATGATGGAGGTCAATGCACACAGTCACGACTGACTGAGATGTGTGGCACACACATGCAACTAGCTACATGCCACAACATCTCAGATTTTGGGTTTTGAGTTTGGAAGTTTTACAAATTTACGCGTTATGATCCAGATAATCTTTTCTCTCGCCACAAGCTGTGGCAATCAGCAATCCGCATCTCGATGCTCAATCTTCTCCAATTTGCAATGCCCCTAAAATCGAAATGCTGGTCTACCTAAAGTCGCACTTATTTTGTCACTATTTTGGTTCAAAATCAGTGCCATGCGTGGTTGTCAGGGTACAGAGCCAACCATTGGTGAAATTTTCCAAGGCTTCAGCCCTCGACAAGGGTGATCAAATGCAATTATCCGGGACACAAGTCAGTCTGACACGGCCATATCCGTACAGTACCATTTCCACGGGATCAAGCCGTCCGCTCCCCCCGGCTTAGTATTGCGTCTCGTATTGGCTCTTGATTCTCCTCCCATGGCACATCACGACTCTTTACTCTAACCCAGCGAAAATAGTTTACCGTCCAGGTGGGCGCATGTTGTGTGCAGTTTGTTCAACCACATAGGGCTGTTCAGACTTGAATATAATGCCCCTCTTCTTCTCAGTAATTTCCTGAAACCAGCAATTGACTCGAAGCCTCGAACGTTTGCTGATGTTTGCTCCACTAGGCCCAAATAACTCATCACATATGCATGGATCTAAAAGTACTCCGCGGCGAGCTTTCCGAGCCCCGCCAATTTATCACAACTTTCTATCACAATTTGATACATATACAAACATTCCTTTCATTGTTAAGGCCGCGTAGTGCGCTGGAAAAGATTTTACCTGACCGGGGAACATGTTATTCTATGCATACCGATCCGATAATATCAGCCGATCGGGCTCTAGGCTGATGCTAAGAATTAACTTATAACTAGTTATTATAATAATGGCGTTCGACATAATCCATACCTCAAAATGTCGCCGACAGATTTCGCTTCAAGCCACTTCAAGCAAGGTCAAATTCACCACTCCCCCATGAGATCTCTAGACCTTATCCTTCCCGCCTCCACTATGGGTTTAATCCCAGCGCTTATATCTCCTTTTATCATGGCTCATGGTAGATCTTGCTTGGTGCCTCGCAAGATCCATGACCCATGAGGACTTTGACCTCTTTCGAAAGATGGTAGCATATCCCTTTCATCAAAAGCCTCAGCGCCACACACTGTAGGTTCACAAGGTAGCCAATGCTGCCTCGAATTCTGACGTGCTGGCATGATGTTAGCGTCCTTCTGGATCACGACCATGTTAGTTTCCGATTGGCCATCACTCTAGCTACAATGTCTTCGAAATTGCAGCCTTGGTCAGGTTATCTCATAGATCCCTGCCAGTAGCAAATCTATCAATCACCCTTTTAGGATATCGTTTGTATGGGAATGATTTCAGCAGTAAAGCATACTAGTGAATTGCCAGCCTTGTCTGTTTTTGTTTCACTATCTCTGCCTCCCCGGTCAAGGCACTTGATTGGAATAGTTGGAATCGCTCTGTACAACCTTGCCTACCGGCACTTTCACCAGTAGTGGGGAACAAGTCTATATGAATCAATCTCCTTCCATTGCTTTAAAGGCCGCAAAAGACTTGTCCAGATCTCTCAAAACGCATTCATTTCCAAGGTGTGACGCATATACAAATACTGAACATATTTCCTTCTTCAATACATACACTTTCTCAATAACTTCAACCTCTTTGATCATCTTCAATTCATACCTGTTCTATAATCACGTCTATCACTAAGATTTGTGTCAACTTGAGATCAATCTTTACACTATCAGCAACATTAAGTCTTGCATCCAGCAAGACAACTCGAAAAACTGGCGATTATGTCACACACATCAGGCAACGCCTGGCGCTGGAGTGAGGATTCTCACATCCCATTTTGCTATATGGATACCGCCGGCATGGTCCAGTCTATGAATCCCCAAGCAACAACTTCAGCAGGTTTAGGGAGAGCAACCGTTGCTGCTCCCATCATGCCAATAAGCTCTTACGGTGGCAGCACTTTCAACATGCCCAATAGCCATCAGCAGATTCCACAGAACTCGTATGGCTTCACATCTTACAACGATGGTAGCTTGACCACTATCATCCCAACTTACGGAGCCAATTATATTCAGCCACGACCTCTTCCCGGCATGATGCAATCTTATGCTCCTACTCCAAAACAGGCACCTTTCAACGGAAGCAGCCGACAAGGATTTGTGGGAAGTACGCACCAAAATCAAAGTCCTCAAATCAAGCCTGAACCTTCATGGGCAACACCTGCAGGTCAAAAATCACCACCGAAAACTCAATCAACCCCACCACCTAGCAAAGACATAAATCCTCTTCCTTTGACTGGCTCTGATGAGGCACACATTGGGAGCACAGCAATTGACCGACTTATGAAGGTCATTCAAACCAAAACACAAACATTGCAAACGCAATTACCACCTATCCCTCAGATTACACCTGTGGTAGGTGCACCCCACACCCTCCCTCGACAGGATTCAATGTATCGAAGATTTTATGGATATGAGAAAGAAGAAAAGCAAATGCTTACATCTGGTAAGGGTCCGAGCGAACCAGGACACTCTAAGAGAAAAGAGAAGAAGTATCGATGCACTTTCGAGAATTGTCCATCAAGTTTCCCACAGAAGACACACTTGCAAATCCATCTTCGAAAGCATACCGGTGCAAAGCCATATGTAAGTAGTCAAAATCTATGAATGCCATTTAATATGTCCACGAAACTAATAGTATGTGCTTAGACATGTAGCTGGAAATCTTGCGGCCGACAATTTTCTCAACAAGGAAACCTCAAGGTAAGAGTTCTCTTGCCTGACATCTGTCAAATCTCATGCTGATCAAGAATGTCCTCAGACGCATATGAATCGTCACAGTGGCGAACGACGCTTTCCTTGCGAGATATGTGGCAAGCGTTTCGGACAACCAAGCAATCTGAGTGCTCATAGAATTGTTCACACGGGCGAAAAACCATTTACATGCAAGCTCGACGGATGCGAGAAACGTTTTACACAACTGGGCAACCTCAAAGTACGCTAACTCCTTAACTTTTTTTCTTTACTCTTCCTTTCATAATTTCACTCATGGAATAAGCTCTAACATTTCCTTGCTCAGTCTCACCACAACAACTTTCACCAGCAAACAATTGAAAATCTCATGTTGAAACTTGAAAGCGGCGAAATCGACTTGGAGGCTAACAAGGAATTCTGGTCTTACTTCTTCACTCTTTACAAAAACAGTAATAAGGGCATCAAAGGACGAGGCAAAGATAGAAACATCAGTCCCCGAAGTCGATTATCCAAGAGCGGCCATGCAAGTACTGGTACAAATGCTAGTCGTTATATTTCGTCTAACATGCGAAGTTGTCATGGACTCATGGGCGTGGACGCAACCTCACCATTCAGTAGTGATGTAACGATGTACGATTCCGATGCGAGTCTGAGGAGTCATACGAGTGGAAGCATGAGTGTACACAGTAGTTATGGTTCTGTCTCCAGCGAGGGAACAGCATCTACCTGCTCAAGTTTCTCAGATGAAATTTCTGGAGATTATAAGGATCATCGTGGTGGCAGCTCAAGAGGCGGATTGGCTTTTGGAGAGAGGCTGTACTAAACTTCTGCCACCAGTTCAAGGCAAGGAAGCTGGTGATTGGTGAGAGAAGGGAGAGCACATATAACAAACGTACAAAGTTACGAAAAATGCAAGTTACGAACGAGCAGACAAACGAAAAGACGACAAATGGACGAATGGTAGAAAACTATCTTCATCAACACGACTATCATTCTCATCATTATCAAACGACCACGCACACGACCATCTACAAAAAAGCGTTGTATTTTTACGGCACCAGACCGAGTACCTACCCATCACTTCTGTATCAGAAGTAGTTTAACAGGACATTTTCCATAATTTTTATATCTTTCATTATCACAATCATTTCACTTTTTTTTCATTCTTCACTTTTCATTTTTTCCGGGTGGTACAGTCAATACAAAAATCTTACAAACTGCGGATATCATGTATTTCTTAGGAAGGGCAGGGATCTTTGTATTTTGGGCGGGCAATAGTGGAATGGGGAGATATTAGTAGATGTATGAGGACGGAATGGGAATAAGGATGGGGTAAAGGGTTGGAGTATATTTTGTATGGATAGGTTGAGGAATCGATGAGAGGGGAACAAGTGGAGAGAAAGTGGGAAAGGAGAAGTAAAATATCGAGTATGAATGTCAAAACAGTTGATAGTCAGATAGTCGAAGGAATTAGATTTATTAACGAATAATATGACCATATTCTTATCAATTCAGCTTGATCATTTCAAGTTGTTCAATATTTCCATGATACTGTGGTGATAACAATGCGCTATTCTAAATACTGCTGTGGAGTAGTCTTAAGTTCTACACTTATTGAGGGATTAGAACTCAAGTTATGGTTAGCAAAACTAAAGGCACGAGTATATCGCTATTGAATCTTCTCCAGACCCCCCCCCGCCCCCCCCCCCCCCCCCAAAATTACACGTAGTGACCACTGATCGAATGCCATGAGGCTGCAAGAATTGACATCTCATTCATCCCTTACCTTAAACGGCCAGCCTCCCAGCTTCGCCTCGAATCATCTCGTTTGAAAGCACTACCGATTATTGAAACCCGACGCGAGGGAGAAGAACTTGGTAAGGAACTGCCTGCTTCCGATTTTTTCCTCCTAAACTAACATCTCGATGTGAACTAACACACCGTAAAACTGCAGAGAGAAATCTCTAAAATGAACGTATGTATGTGTACAGATTACAGCGCAAACAGCACGTGAAAGAATGGATGAATTGTTCTACACGGTATGTAGGTACAGTGTCTTCAACCACGGTATTCGCCTCGCTTTCGCATTGATCTTCACACCGAGTACCTATCTGCAAGCAAGCAAGCAAGCTCAGCAAGCTCTACTCTGCACTGACAAAATCTCTGATGTTGCACTGCTTCTACATACATACACACATACACACACACATACATACATATCTACACACATACACACATACATACATGGTACATAGTACATAGTCCATAGCACGTACCCGGGGGAACAGGTAGGGTATGTACGATTGATGCGGTTCTGCATGCATACTCGAGCATTCACCGCTTCACTCCAGGTTACATTCTGTTGCATACACCACATACCGATGCTGGGAATCGCGATATGGAATCGTCACTTTGACAAACGAATCGTGGTCAATCTGGCATGCATTAAACAAGTATCGTACGACTGACTCAAGCCAATTTCTTCATATCCCCACGCGCGATTCAAACGCAGAATTAATATTCTTCCATGTCTTTCTTCGTTTGAAGTAACGTTCCGTATATGCCGTATACTAGGTACCGTATGTAAATTGAACAAGCGTCGCATCACACTAAACCCTTTTCAAATAAGCTTATCTCCTATTTCCTATCACCGGACTGGGCTGAATGGGGAAATGATTAATAAATCCATTGCTGAGCCTTCGAGTGTTTGATCCACTCGAGCCACTTTGACAATCCTTCAAATCACTCAACGATACCTGCAGAAACCTCCACGCTCCTTTAGGGAAAGTGTGGAGACCAGGTTGTTGAGCTTGTTACGGGTCTGCATTCCCTCTTTCATCTCCATCCGCATCTCGCACAGATCTTATGATCTCATCTCGTTGCAAACGAAAACGCGGGAAACAATCCCAGCATGTCTAACAAATTTAGCAAACCCGGCAACTAGTAGTAGTCAGTAAACTGGCAGCTAGCAGCGGGATGGAATCTAGATCTCCCGCGTTCCCCCCTTTTGCACCTGTCTTTGACTTTGCTTTCGATTCTTCCGAGATCTGAATTGGAACTAGTGTGCAGGTCTGGATTTGTTTGGCATGCAAATGGCAACGATTGGTATGCGCAAGGGAGAAATTCTGAACCAGGCCTTTTTCCCTAGACTCGTCTAATTTAGGAAATAATCGGTCGTTTTGGGCATAAGTGCTGATGTTTTATGGCCATTCAGACCCGGTGTGGGGTTTTGTCGATTTCTGGCTCGATTTCCCGTTTCCTGTCTGCGTCTGTGTACAACAGGACATGGGCTTTCTCGATTCGCAATGCGATTCATCGTCTATGTCATGGATTTTACGATCTTGACGGCTTGGCTTATGGCGCGGCACGGATGGGACGGTACATGTGTGGCACAGACTGGAGGATGCTCGAGAAACTAGTTTTTGGGTACACACTGCACACTATGTATGGTCCCATCTCTACGGACGGACGGGAAGAGCCTGTGAACAGCCGGTTTTTAGTTTAGGGATAATAAATAGGTAATTTTAACATCATGTCAAGTCCTGTCTCTACTACAAACGCATCCTATACATGTTATAGCAGATTCAAATATATTTATATCTCTGGGCTGAATATTGAAAACTTCATGTTGGAGTTGGGATCGTCAAGAGAAAGGGGCTGGGTGTGTGAGGCTTGTTTGTCAATTGCGCGATAACCTTAACCCATGACGCAGATCAGAACACGGGTACATCACGTGCAAGGGAATGGAAGGTAACATTTGGATTAGAATCATTTTGGAATGTATTTGGAATGTACAATGTGTAATCGTATGACGGCCCGATGATCAAACTTTGCTGAGCCGAGACAAGGCGAAATCTCTTGCCATCGGATTCTCGGATCATCAGCTGGCTGATATATGATACATCGGTCGCTCCTCATAATCATATCCTATCATATAACCAGGATAAAGAAAATTCCTGACTCGAGTATCTTGCCTTAGTGAAATAAGGGGGACCTTTCCGTATCCAATAAATCTCGCAGACCATTTAAAAAAAATGATATATTGTATGTAGCTTGTAAATAAAATCAGCTGCAACTTCACCGCGACCCCACAACCCGGTATCCATCAGATTCAGCCCCCGTGGAGCGTCGACACGAATAATATGTTATCATTGGATTGCAATGCGTAGGAAGCTTCACCCTCTAATTCCCAGTCTGCGTCGTTTATGAGGACTAGGATACCGGGACGTCTAGGGACACGAAATGTGTGGTTAGTATGGTATTTTAGTATGTTCTGGTGCATACGGGGAAGAGGCTTGGTGCCGGGGATAGTTTTGAAACGGTGAAAGCTCAAAAGAAAGCGAACAGAAGGTGCATATAATGGAAATTCAGATGAACATTAGGGGCATAGCATAACATAGTATCGACACCCAAGCCCAAGGGAATCCAAAAATACTTTCATCGAAACCAACCCATGGCAACACGCTAGCGTCCCTCCCTTTCCATGTCTTTCAAGACATTGAGGAAATTTGAAATAATAGATTCGCGACTCACACGTGATCGTCCAGAACAAACATGTCCTTTCTACTATCTTGCATGATTTCGTCGCACAGATAATTTACCAACCAACCGACTGTAACGGGATCGCCCTTGGAATCTGTTTTGGGGATTGAGAGTTTGTGGGATCGTTGGTCGGAAAATAACATTTCGAGACCGCCACTGTTGGAGGGTTAGTTGGGTTTGTTTTAGGGATTTTTGCGGCTGAGCAGTGAAACGTACGTAAATTCTACCACGATAGAGAGGGTGTCCGTCGCCATTCTGAAGTTATGTTGTTGCCTTCTGAATTCTCGGAGGGTTTGATATTGAAGGGGTAGTTTACGTCGGGGAAATTTTGGCAGCGGCAGAAATGCGACGCTTCACAGCCTCGCTTATTTCGGACTTGTATCTTCAGACAACAACGTTTATTCTTGGTGGAAAACCGAGTTGATGATGAAAAGAATTATAGAAAGATTGAATATTCTGTTTTACGGGATTCGCAAAACTCATCCTAAATCTCACACTTCTTTTGATATCAATATCTAAGAGTTTTAATGAAAATTAAATTTCTAACCAATTTCTAAAATTCATTGTGGTGATGTGACTCCAACCAAAAATTCCTGTAAAAATGGGTGAAACAATTTTCACGACATCAACAAAAGATCTCCCAGACAGCAATATTGAACCCACCACGAATTCACGACTTTATATGATATTGGCGTTGAACCTGGATATGATCCAAACGATTTTGCGATAAAACTTATTTTCTTTCGTGAATGCTTTGATGAAACAATATGAATATGATGGATAAAATTACTCCAGAATATCTTGCGGCAGGTGCCAACAGACATCCTTCTGCTGCCGATTGGGACGAGTCTGGACTTTTGGCCTATGGAACAGATAGGAATATCGCATTATGGTATCCCGGAGTAAGTTTTGACAGGTCTTTGATAAAGACTCGGATCATGGAGATTTATGACTGGTCCTATAATGCCTATCGAGAGAAAGTACTGATGATGTCCAGAATGAAACTTCCAGAGGCGTTTTCGAACTCCTGAGTGGCCATACGGATACTGTTAATGTGGTGAAATTTATCCCGAAATCACATGGTCTAATACTCAGTGGATCTGTGGATAAGACGGTCCGCATCTGGAAACAGGATGAAGTCTCAAAGACTTATACTTGTGTTCAAACTATTACCGATCATCAGAGCACAATCAATTGTATAGCTGTGACGGAAGGACCTAAAATCTTTGCTACCGGATCAGCAGATGCTATTGTCAATGTATGGAAACTGGATGACAGCAATGTTGCAAGTTTGCAGCAGTCTATCACGATTACTCCCCGATTGTTCCCTTTGGCATTGGCTTTGAGTCCTTTGACTGGAGCTTCAGATTCTTTGGTTCTTGCAGTTGCGGGTACTAAGGATATTATTCAACTTCATGTGCTTGATGCGCAGGCAGGATCGGAATTCAAATACAAAGCTACATTATCTGGACATGAAGGATGGATCAGGTCGTTGGAATTCACCAAAGAGATCGATAGTCCAACGAGCGATTTACTCCTCTCATCAGCTAGTCAGGATAAATATATTCGACTTTGGAGAATTCATCAAGGCAAAGAATTGCCAGCCGCAGCCACAGCAGCCGATCCAACATTCGGTGCATTCATGCCTGGAAAATCTCTATCCAACAAGGCTCATCGTTTCCAAGCTCAAGAACTAGATTTCTCAGCTACATTCGAAGCTTTACTGCTCGGACACGAAGATTGGATCTACAGTACACGCTGGCTTTCTCCATCATTGACCTCCAACCAGAAGCCCCAACTCCTCTCCGCATCAGCAGATAATTCTCTCGCTATCTGGGAACCCGACACCCACACCGGCGTCTGGGTAACCATCGCACGACTTGGCGAGATCAGTGCGGAAAAGGGTTCTACCACCGCCACCGGTAGCACCGGCGGTTTCTGGACCGGTCTCTGGTCTCCCACCGGCAGCACCGTCGTTTCGCTCGGCCGAACGGGAAGTTGGCGTCTTTGGAACCACCATACATCTTCCGATCACTGGGCCCAAAATACTGCCATCACAGGCCATGTGAAACCCGTCATGGGAATCGCATGGTCGAAAGATGGAAGCTATCTGCTCTCGACTAGCACGGATCAAATTACTCGCTTACACGCCCAGTGGAAGAGAGATGCGATTACCAGTTGGCATGAGATGGCGAGACCACAGATTCACGGCTATGATTTGAATTGTATCGATTCTCTCGGCGCCTCTCAATTTGTCTCCGGCGCCGACGAGAAACTGCTCCGTGTATTCAACGAACCCCGAGCCGTCGCCACGCTCCTCCACAAACTCTGCGGCATTGACAACGAAAACCCAACCGACATGCCCGACGCAGCCAACATGCCCGTCCTCGGCCTCTCCAACAAAGCCATCGAAGCCACCCCCGATGATGCCCAACCCATCTCACAACCCGACGACCGCGACGCCATAGACCCCGCATCCATCGTGCACAAATCGACACTCGACCTCTCCTCCCCACCCCTCGAAGACCATCTCTCCCGCCACACGCTCTGGCCCGAAACGGAAAAACTCTACGGCCACGGCTACGAAATCTCCGCGCTGGCCGCCTCTCACGATGGCACGATCATCGCGACCGCCTGCAAAGCCAGCTCCATTGACCACGCCGTCATCCGCCTCTTTGAAACAAAAGAATGGCACGAACTCAAGCCTTCTCTCACCGCGCACTCCCTCACCGTTGCCCGTCTGCGCTTCTCAACAGACGACAAGTATCTCCTCTCCGTCGGACGCGATCGTCAGTGGGCGATTTTCAAACGCGATGACGCGGATCCAAATACCTATACTTTAGCCGAAAGTAACCCAAAGGGCCACACGAGGATGATTCTTGATGCGGCGTGGGCGCCTACTTCGTCATCTTCTTCTAGTACCGCATCCCCCGTCTTCGCAACTGCAGGACGCGATAAAAGCGTCAAGATCTGGGGCCGCGACGCAGAAGGCAAATTCGCATGTAAAGCGACCATTGCATCCGAAGCGCCCGTTACCGCAATCGATTTCCGCGATGAGGTGGTAGGGGAAAGTACCGTGTATTTGGCTGTTGGTACTGAAGTTGGGAGATTCAAGATTTATCGGGTGGAGATTGGAGATGAGATTACTGTTCATGAATTGGAGTTGCAGATTAGGTATGTGTTATTTTTCTTCCCTAATAATTCTAATTTTCATCTTGATCTTCCCTCAAAGTTTCACTTTATTTCTCCATTCCTCTTATTTAGATATACTAACTCGATATCATAGCAATAACTACTACCCCTCTAAAGCCATCACCCAATTAGCATGGAAACCATCCTCAAAAGAAACATCAGAGAACAACACTACAAGCATGGAACTTGCAATTGCAAGTGAAGATAGTTCTTTGAGGATTTATTCTCTATGTTGAATAATTCTAAGGGGTATCGTATGTTAAAGTACGCCTCCTGTGATGCTTTTGTTGAACGCCAAACCTATCTGCCCATACATAAATACATACAAAGTTAAAGGCGTTAAGGCACTCTAAATAAAATAGATAAAATGGAAATTAAAAGTATGAAAAATGAAACACCCCTTCGACCTGCTCTCTAGTTGAAGTTGAGTGCTGCGCCGTGTTGTCCCATGTGTATATACGCGTTAAAGCGCTTTACCACATTATTCTCCCTGAAATCCATCTAACCTTTTCCCTATCCTTGCTCCCCATCAATCCCCTCAGCTAAACCTTCTTCTCACTTCCATACCCACCGACACCTGCCTCCAAATAACTAGTTCCCGAACTGCCAGCGTTCTTCCTGGGTCCTCTCTCCTTCAAATCCTCTCCCAACCACTTAAGAACCAATTCTCCCAATCTCGAATTTCCACTACTATCTCCACTCATTTCCTTCTCAAACCTCTCTATATTGCCCCACTCCTTCACTCGTCCAAGACTCATATGCACCAAATCCGTCGGCCATCCCGCCAAATTATCCAAAATATGCGTCGCATACACGATCGTACATTTTCTCTTCTCCGTCTCCTCTCTCAGGAAATCCAAAAATCTCTTTCGGCTCAAGAGATCCAAATCCACCGTAATCTCATCTAGTAGCAAGATTCTCCACGGTCTAATAAGTCCCATAGCAAGTTGTACTCTTCTTCTTTCTCCATCAGATACTTGATGCATGCGCCATTCCAAATCAATATCTAGAACCTGCACAAGCTCGTCTCTTCGCTCGGGATAATGGTTTCCGCCCACGGAAGTGAGGAGCTCACGCACACCAATGTCGGTTCGTACGATGGGATTGAGAACCCATTCGAGACCAAGATAGGTTACACCGACAAGGGAGTCTTTGAAAGGATCGAGACCGGAGATGGAAATTGTAGAGGTGGGAGCGAGTCGTTTGCCGGAGAGGAGACGGAGGAGTGTGGTTTTGCCGGCACCGTTTGCGCCGATGAGTCTGAGAGGGAGGAGATTAGCTGTGATTCACAAAGATGGAGGGTAAATTGTGAGAATTGTGCGGAGAGATTGAGAGTGAAGGAACCTCCATCTGTCAAAAGGCAGAGCAGAGCAGGAAAAGAAACCAACATACAAAGTCCTCGAACTAGGCGGCAAACTCAGCGTAATATCCGTAAGACCCAGAGTCGAATCCGGGAATTTATATGTCAGGTTCTTGACTTCAATTGACGGGGCAGCCGTTTGATCATCTACTGAATTAACCATCTTTGCTTGCTTTTTTCTTTTACGGCGGAATTCGAGTTTAACGATCGAGATTATGAAAGAGGAGAGAAAGAGACTGTCCGAAAATATAGAAGAAAAAGTACAATGGGAAAGTTTATATATGAATTTATTTGTAATTGTTTTAATGAGTTAGAGGGATAGTGGGGTGATGTCCGACATATATCTTTTGGTGGATAGGAATCGATGACGCTATCTTATCTATAATTCGCAATGACAGGGATTATTTGTAACGTGATTAGATAAGCAATTCTGGAATAGCTTCATATTTTCGTATTCGTTTGAGGAGGAGGTTGACTTGGGCTTTGGTATTGATTTTACTATTCTCGTTCGGTCTCAAACTTTCTTTGTGGTAGATCAATAATCTAGCTTCAATTGTGTCCTCATAGTAGATACTAGAAGTTTGGATCGTTCGTTCATGAGATATATGAAGAGCTTCATCTTTAGACATTGTAATCATTTCTTTTAATTTTCGTCTTGGTAAATACGCATATATATACTATCAGCTCTTAAGTGAGTCCATCAAGGTGATAGTAGAAGGAACATGTTTGCATTTATGCACATGAATAAGACTCGAGTGTTCGTTTCGAACATTTTTGCATCCATTTTCAAACCGATATTCTTATTTTCATCGTCTCTGCTCTATTCTGGTACTTCACTTCCGATATTCGCCCAGAAATCACATCTTGCTCCCCTTCCCCCTTCCCAATCGTAAGCATTCACGATTGCTAAATCAGCTTCCAATCCCGACCCTATATTTTCTGCTACATTCAAACTCAATCCATCTGCCGTTGTCCATGCAACCTCTTTCGGTTGTCCTCCAGTCATATTCAATTTCAACATCTGATATGCACCGTAGCCATCAGTTTGCCATTGTGGCCATAAACCAGCCCCTGCTGCGGAGATATTATCTCCGATCTGTGTGCCATTCCCAAGAGTTGTGATAGAGGTAATGACATCGCTAGGTAGTGTTGGATCGTTATAAATGATAAATCTCCCCCATATCTTTTCCACAGCGATACGGAAGCCAGGAGATAGTGTTCCGAAGCCGATGTATTCACGGTTTACAGCATAATATGCATTCAAATCTCCTCCGTGCTGCGATGGGGGGACACTGAACTCGTATTTCCAGGCTTGGGGATATGCGGAAGCTAACCAGTAAGAGGGACAGACAAAGGTAGTTTCCGCATAGAGATTGTTGGCTCTTTGCTGTTGACCGATCGCGTAGACGGATTGGTTGAGAGCCGTGGGACCATGATCACCTGCTGATGCGAAGAGAGGACCTGGGATCGTTGGTGGGATGGAGTAGGTTTTGAGGAGGCGATCGTAAGTTGAGTTAGATATTAGAGGAAAGAGGGATTGTGTGTAAGTGTTGAAAGCAGCGGTTGTGTTGATGTGTTGTGGGACGAATACAGGGCCTTCATTAGCATTGTTCTGGGGAAGTTTAGCTGCGCGTCCTATTTTCGAAGGTAAAGTTGAAAGGGGTACTCACGCCGGATAACATTCTCACACCATTAACCTCGCCAGCTAATAATTGCTGCGATGGCCTCTTGACTATGAATTCGCCATCTGTTACTGGTAAGAAAGCCCATTGTCCGTAATTCACGCTTGCAGAGATATATGCACTTGCATTCTGCAACGCAATCGTATCCGCACTGATTAAACAATCAAAAGCACTCCCATTACCCTTTCCACAGCCCACAGCCTCCACGAACTTTCCATAACTCTCCTCTGGTAACAATCCGTCATAATCATACTGCATTGGCAAATACGGACTTGCAACAATTCCATTATTGAACAAACTCGTCCCTAAACTTCCACCAAAAGCCATGCTTTGTAACATTACCGCCCCGCCCCCTGCTGATTCTCCAGCAACAGTAACACGGGTTGGATCTCCTCCGAATTTGGAAATGTAAGTTTGAACCCATTGAAGTGAGAAATTCATATCATAAAGAGCGGCGTTTGGGATACCGCCTGAGCTGACAAGCTCTGACGATGAAAGAAATCCAAAGGCTCCAAGCCTGTACTGGATCGCTACTAGAATAAAGCCGTTGGAGTTGGTGTTGGCTAATTCCGAAAAATCATTGTTACCGGAGCCGGTGCCGTAGCCTCCGCCATCTGGAGAGAATCAGCTTGCATTGTTGGAAGTGGAAGTGATGGGCATCGAATCAGAGACTTACGAATCCAAACCATCACCGGAAGATTTGTCGCATTTGGCGAGGACCACACGCTTAGAAATAGACAATCTTCATTCCCAAGACCTGATCTGGTAAAATTGTAACTTGCGGCCCTTGGAATGTTAGTATTTTGAGATATCAGGAACACTTGACTGATGCTTACAAAGGACCGTTGGGACTCTGGGGACAGTGAGGAGGGTAGGCAGTTGCCTTTATGGTCGAAGTTCTGTTTACTGCTGGAGATTGTGGTTTTTGCCAACGCAGTACTCCTGTTGGAGGTGCTGCATATCGAATTCTGAATTCTGTGAGTTTCTTACTTCTAGGAAGAAGTGAATTGGTGCGATACATACCCTTTGAAAATATTGAGTTGTGATGTTGCGTTGTAATATCCCTGATATACATTGTATCCGAGGTCAACTATTGGAGATGAGGTATTGCTACTTTGGCGTTCACCGAACTGCGATTTGTTGATTTCTACCGGCGAACATGATGTTATTGTTGCCGAAAACAACAGAAGGAAATGAGAAAGCAGCATGATCACAAATTAACGTTCAATCAAGAGTATTTTGATTGACCAGAGTAAAGATATCAGGGCTATATTTACACGACCAGCAGGAGACGGTCAAGGTATCTGATACCTACTTATTTTGTAGTAGGATTGTAATCCCCCATATACTTGTCTCCCATCGCCATTCTTATATGAATACCAAAATGACAGCTATGTATTATTCCAATTATTACGGATCAGAAACTTTCTCTCGCATGTAAGCTTCCGGAAAATATCTTTTGCTAAATCGAATTTCGGGCTGGTATGTACCGATATATATCAAGAGCGGCAGAACTACTGCAGGTCTCATAACAATGCGGGGTAACCTGTTGGGGTGTTGGAGTGCGATGGATGATCTACACTTGCATCTGTAACTGGTGATGACTTCATAGACACCATGAGAATCAAGTAAACCATTTACTCAATCTGACAACAGGGAGAAGTGATGCTTAAACTCAATATGAACATCTCTATTATTGGAATGCCGCTTGTGTCTACTTCTGAAATCTGCCTTTTCCGACCACTTCCTTCATGACTCGCTGAGATTCTACCTCTACCTCGGGTTGATGTGAGAAAAGTGTAAGATTCTTTGAAATAGAGCAGTCCAATAATCGGCCATCTAAGACAATGACAAAGAGTCCAAGAGACTGATTGAAGATTATGGTTGAAGTTATTGTTCTCGAGGAACAAGATCCTTAGCACAATAGAGAAATACTGTGGAGAGATCGCCACACACGCTTAACCTTAGCTTATTAGACTCGTGACCATCCTCTCGCATACAACTCAATTTCTATTCCTACACGCGCATACAACAGAAAACAGAACAAAAAAAGTCGCAGATCAAGTAAAACTTATAGTACTCTTTGGTTTTTCTATTTAAATCTATCACTTGAATCTTGAATCAAATCTTCATCATTCAATTCAGGATCGACGTTATAATGCTTAGGAATCTTGGCTGGCTTAAGCTTAACCTCGTTCCGTCCTTGCGGAGACGCGTCATCGTCCTCTACGTCTTGCAGAATGTCTTGCATTTGGCTCCAAAAATGGATCAAATTTCTTAAGGCAACAACAAAACATGCTTGTTGTTAAAAGCATACTTTTCCACGCTCGTATCGGCATATCTCGAGGTGGGATATCCAGCGACCCAAAACATAGGCCCTGAAGACCTCAAGTCCAGTCAAGGAAGGCACTTTGCAAGATTGTTTTGTGCTCAAATCTGCAAGAAATCTACCATGCAACTCTATTTTGGCCAAATCTAGTGACTAGGAGATAGAACAGCGAAGATGGAAACACATCAACATTTAGCATTCCAACTCCATTTTCCACCAAAATTCCCCAGATATATTCCCTGAAAATCACTGGCAGAGCTGGAGTGTCCCAGTACCTAGCTTTGAGGCCCTTTGCGTTTGCCATAGCCACTTGAGTCTTAATTTGGTTCAGTTGCGACGAGCTGAATTTCCAAAGCCATATTTTCCCCAAAGTACTCATGGAAACGCTTGCATAATACGAATTCGATTGATTATATTTAGGATTTGCGATATCTTTGAGGGGGGCATCATAAAATACATCGCGATAGGTAGTGTTCGAGATCAATAGATCAAATGGGGCATTTCCTGTAGCGACGACAATTATTGGGCGCCAGTTAATTTTATCAGTCGAGTTACTCCAATTGGTGAGCCAACCGTTGGAACGAAGAGCTTCAAGTTCCTGGTTCACTAAAGGCCATAGTTCGGGCCCATCGGACTTGAAATCCAAAACTAAAGTCAAGGTGGCATTGGGATTCGACTGGAATACGCCGTTGAGATTGCTGAAACTTTCGTCTGACTCCGTGGAATTGATGTTTTGATTCTCAAGGATTTTAAGGAGGGGCTTGACGTATAAATTCTGGAGCGTGCGGTCATCTCTGAGCGATTTCAAAGAATGGCCAACTAACAAGCCATCGCTGCCAGATTTCTTGTTTAGCCATATGTCTGCTTCTACTCCTGTACAGCCTGCAGCGACAGCTTCGAAAAGAGGAACGGATCTCCAGTAGTCATTGTGCGAATGACATGACAGCGGTACAATATTCTTTGTGAAATCTGGTCTCCAAGGTGCAAGGAGAGAAGATGAATTGCTGGGATCTTTCCACTGCTCAACCACATAATTTATTCCGCTCGATGGTGTATGAGGCAGATGGTAACGGGGGAGGGTCATAAATAGTATAAGCCATAGCCTAAGGTTCTGGTTAGTTCGAAGAATTACAGTAGTTACAGACACAAACAAGATCATGACAGTACTGACAACGCTGCGATACCACCAAGAGCTGATAGATAAAGTAATACCCAATATCTACGCTTCCAAGGCCATACTTCTTTCATTGGAATTGAAAGATCATTAACCGATCGATAGTAGATAGGTAGGCAACACCGTTTTTTATCGATGCTGTCGCCCATGTCGCTGACACTATGCACAGAATGAGCGTAACTTCCGCTGGTTGCTCTATTTAATAGTCGAACTGTCGAATTTGTTATTTGGGGCTGTGTATTACTGGTGAGAATACCCATTCTGAGGAGTTGCTGTGCTGCGGCGCTACCTTGCGAAATACAATGAGAAAGCAATCTTCATAAACCGCTACGAGGTATAGGGAGACGCGTTAAATATTGGAGAAAAACATGCCAACATTCACATTCACCGGAGCATTGATGTCAAGATACATAGCCCTTCGCAGCGGTTAATGACATCTTCGTCATACCGCATCCGTAGTACGTATAGCTTGCTCTCATGCCTCATTTTTCTTCGCCTGCATGGTGCTCGTTGATGTGGGTAGGCACAATAAATTCATAAGCTTGTCCGAAACAAGTTATCCAGTCTTGTGAGGAGGGGATGATAGCTCTCAGAGTTTGACACCACACAGAAAACTCACCAAGTTTCATTTTCAAATATCTTTACAGTGCCGCTCAACAAATGCAAAGTTACACGTCAGGATTCAAGGCTCAAAGTGGGAATAATCTTCTACTCTAATCACTCAATTATGTCTATCGTTACACAAGTGATTGGGGTCGCGGAGAATCTACATTGAATTCACTCGGGCTGCGCCATTGTGTGATGAGAAACATGTTACAACAGCGATATTATCGAATTTACACTTGCTTACTAAAGTAATCAGTATGCTATTTCTATTGGAAAAACGCCTACCGGAAGACGCTACGCTATCTATTTTCAGGAGGGAGCCATCGAGCGGTGGCATTTGCGGCGTGAGATGGCGCTAGCAACTACCGAACACAAGAGACAAAGCCGAGGCGGCACGGCAAGCCAGAAATCTTGAGCCAACACAACTATGTGGTGGCTTATATTTATCAAAAGAGCACGTCAGCCTTCTAGCGAGTGGTGGGCCGCAAATTAGGCTTCGAATTTACTGTGCCGTTTTCATCGATGCATTTGCGTTCAATGAGATGCAGACTCGCCAAAAAATCTTGTGTGTAGAGCCAATCAAAGTTATTCCCTGCTTACTTTTGTCGTTTCAAAATGATGGGATTGTATGGACTGCGCCGTGCGATATAACTCGCATCAAATTGGCAAGGCACAAGGCCTATGTTTCATTTTCTAAATCCTCCTCTTTGCTTTGCAGTCATGGGCTTAACCAAATTTTATATCCATCTTACCGAGATTAATCATGAAACTTGGTCAAATAATGCTTTTTGCTATAGTTGCGTCGGTTTCCAGTTGTATAACGATGGCGGAAGTTACCAATTGATATATGCCTCAAAGTTCAAGTTATTCTTGTGTGGAATCCTCTATGCGATTCTGTAACGGAATATCTCGAAACAGAATGTCAAATCCTATCTCTGTATTCCCGTCTCAAAGAGATAACGAATCAACATTCGCTGATACCACGACTCTCCGACGCCGTTGGGATTTATTTGGGCTGGTCTCTAGAATTAACATCTCATGACCTCAGAAGACTTCTCATTCGTCACCATGCCAATGGAGTACCCTGGCGATTAGGCCGAGGATTGTGAATGGGCGGTAGCTGCTTAGTACTTTGCAAATGTATGATGCTTGTGTAGTATCAGTGAACCACCTTCCTAGTCGATTTCAGAAAATAAAATCATCTGGAGGATTTTACGTCAATTCAATGTAGTGAGGCATTTTCGAGGTGTTAACGTCATATGTTCAGACCGAATGCTTTATTCATACTCCTGCAAATTGACAAATCCAAATGGTTGCTCGTACGATTTTGTTTCTGCAATGCTACAACTCGTATACAGCCTGCCGACACGTCTCCCCTACTGTATAACTTTTGATTAGTGTCAGAATCACCCCGTTTTTTTCTTTTCAAATTTGTAGTTACCTAAATTCCAGGAACCAAGGGCCCAACTTCGGTAGCCGGCTCGTATTTGGTTTCTCTAGCACTATTTGAAAGTGGAGTAGGGATGCTTACACCCCGCTTTGCATCATGTTCGGATCATCCCGAGAAGGGGAAAGTACGCCCGCCTCGTTATGAGTATAACGAGCAGTTCCGTTTCTTGTATCTCGTTGCCTAGAAAAAGCATCAGAGCCGCTCTTTTTTCTATTAAGAGAATAAAACGAAATGACTGAGGCTGTCCATGACGAATAATTGCAATGCGCTGCGTATACAGACTCAGCATTAGTTGATGATACCTCGGATATCTCGAAACTCTGGGTACTATCACCACGAGCCTTTGGATATCATGGCTGCCTCTCCCCGATTCTCGATTATTAATCACTCAACTTATATATAACCAGAGGCGCTGGGTCAGAAGTCTTGGGATTCGTTAAATCCAAACTGTTAGATATATTTGAACTAATCATCGATATAGGTTACAGAACCGTAACACACGGACTCTGCTTCACTATCTGCGTCAATCAAGGTAGCGATCTATTCACTATCGACTCCGGAAAGGAGCTCTTACTAGTCTAGGCCTACCAAATCGAACGAAGCTAACATCGCTCTTGGGAACGTATTACACTCAAGAACAGGGTACCATGCCATATCGAATGTGTGAAATCACCATATTTCTATCTCATAAAGACTGAAGGTTTAGCATGCTTCGTGGTCAAGGTTCATGATGAAGAGTCAGATGCACTCACACCCCTGATATCAATCTCTACGAAGAATCCTGATGAGATCAACGGATCCTGATGGCTAACGAAGAAATTCGCTACGGTTCTTCCAAGGTTGATACGGAACGCAGAACCTGGAAGTGATAAGACTGATTATCGTGTACTTCCAGTCAAAAATTGATTAAGTGAAATATGATTGGTGATGCAAATGAACTGGAGGTAACAGACTACATGCAGGGCATGAGACTAAAATCGTGTTGGAGGGAGCTTTTTCTTCTTCTAGTTGGTATGCCGTGTGGTTATGCTGTGGTTTGCTTTTCACTTATTTGATTAATATACCTGAGAAAATATAAAAGTATCAAAAATCATGTGGCTGTCGATGCTAATGATTCTTGACGTTAAACCATCACACATCGGACCTTATCCTCCTAGATTTAAGCGAAGATCAAGTGCCTCCTTCATTGATTAGCAGACTAATGAATCCAAAAAAGATGATATAATCATTGCTTTATGTGGAAGATGTGATTGGTACTGGTTTCTTATGAAATCTGAGATACCTTGTTCGTTTCATGCAACTCACTTCCTTATTTACCCCACCAACAATGATTTGATTATATAAGGTGACGTGACAAAATTAGGCGATACACTTCATGGCATCAGCCATTTTAATCTATCAATGCGATAAATAAACCAAGCTCAGCACTGCACTTCCCAATATTGAATCAGACCAAAATCTAACACAGATTCCCCAAATTTCAAGAATATCCTCATTAAACTGCATCAAGATGACTGAAAATATCCTCACCTTCTGCACAGCTGAAATCCCACCCGAAGTATGACCTCTTCCCTTCTTTCAAACCATCGCATTCGCTACCTACCTACTCACATTTTTCTAGCTAATTTCTCAATTTATCAAACACTCCCAACGCACCCAAGAGAGTTCCAAAATCTGGTCTATCGTCCGCACACCCACCTCGCACCCCCTCGGCAAACGCACGCGCACTACCATCTCTCCTTTCCGAAGCGGATTCCTAGACGCCTCCCTCTCCACACTCTCTGAATTCGTGACTTCGGCTCCGCAAACCGATGGGCACCATTTCAGCCGCAACACCTTCGCGGTACTGGATGCGCGGAGTATAGAAGATGAGACGGTGGTGCTGTGGAGTCGGCTGGACAGTATGCCGATGGAGGCCGTGGAGAGAGGGGGATGGGATGAGGGGAAGAAAACGACGGAGTGGAAGGATTATCGCGTGGAGTTTAGCAAGGCGTGTTGGGTGGTGGGGGTGTTGCAAACGGCACCGGGGTTGTTTGGGGAAATTGTGGAGAAGGGTCAGGGCACTAGTGTGGATGGGGACGGGGTGCTCAAAGTGGATACCCCGATGAAGGAATGCGATTTGGAGGTAGATGATGTTTCTACGGATGAGGAAAGTTTGTGAGCGTATTGTACGGGTGTTGGATGCGTTGTCAGTTTCGTCCTGCCTTGTTTTGATGGAGGTTGCAATGCAACGTCAACTTAGCCACTGTTGATCAAGCCACATCACGTGATTATTATGGTGATGGATTCTTAGGTTTCTTTCTTCCGTTATTACCTGGTATGCAATTTATAGGGAAAGAGTTGCCGATGTTACTTACTTAGTGGAGGAAGTATCGTCTTACTTATGGCGCATCAAACGCGCGTCATTATCGTTTGCGCGCCAACAAAGCTTGAACTGTGGAACTGTGACTCTTAAAGGCGTATCTGATGAAACCTGGGCACAACAGGAGATCACTAAGATTGGGGAATGACTGACATCTCTTCTTACCGTCTCATTTTCGTTGGTACATGAAGTGAAAATGAAAAATCAAAGTAATAATTTGAGCTACTATTGGTCATTTTCACTTCCCATCAAATTAGTTTCAACTACTGTCAAATCAAGATTTGAAGGCTCCTCCAAATATCCTACTATCTCTTCTTAATTTCGTTAGTACAGGAAGTGAAGTTTGAAAATCAAATTGATTGGAGCTACTGTCGGCTCTTTTCGCTATTTATCAACTTGGTTTAAACTACTGCAAAATTAAGTTTAAACTACTGTCAAACTTCGTAGAATTACTATCAAATTTTTTGAAGCCACATCGAACCAACGAAAATTATATTGAACTACCTACCGGTACTTGTGAATCACAAATCTGTGGATCCGACTCTACTAGTTTATCCAAATGATCGTTCCTTCTATAAATGCACCTCATTACTCCCATTTCTCTACAATACAACTTGACTTCCTCTACATCAAATTTCTTAGATAACCAAGAATACATTCATTACAGTTTATCTCTTCACACTGTTCTCCCATATTTGTTAGACCTGGTAGACAACCAAAAATACATTCTAAGTCTATAATAAATCCATTAGAGTTTACCTCAGACAATAGTCTCCCACCATGGCAGCAAAACTCATATTCAATCCCTCCGACGATGCGTTTCTAACGCAAAGAAATCTTATCAAACCAGCTACACGCCGAAGAAGATTAATTTCATCATCTATTTTACAATCTGAATCACTCTCCTCATCCGATTCCGGTTCCGGTTCCGGTTCATCAGAGGGAATCGACATGAAAGACTTCACCATTATACCCGAGTTTCTCGAGAGCGAGGAGACCATAGAATGGCTTGGATGGAATCCCACAAAAGCTGCTGAGATATGGAACAGGTGGAAGGAAATACAAGAGACAGAGCAGGATCAGGGAACAATCTTCGAGGTTGAATTTCTCCAATGTGCTCTAGGGCATATTCCTGGCCGGAGTTTCGAGGATGGTTCCAGCGACTGGGAGGAACACATGAGAAGCTGGGGAATCAGCGACGAGCTTAGCGATGCTATAATGGATGCCGATTTCACCGACATAAGATGCACAGAATCGGCTCAGCACTGGGTAACCGATACTATCGAGATAAGATATCTAAGTTTGGAAAGAATCAAGAGGGAAAGTGATCAGAGGACGATCAACAACCATACCATGAATCCTAGTGTAGCAAGTAGTGCGGTACCACGATACTCAAGGGTACCGGGTCTTCAAACCTTGTTCAAAGCCATCTCGACAGAGAGGTTGAGATACAGCGATAGCAAGATTAACATTGACTCTCTAGTGAGTGAAGGAGCGACTGATTTTCGAGGCTACGGAGGTGCACTATATTTCACACCTGACTACAAGGTTGCGGATAATTACCGACGATACATCAGAAGACGAGTTGGTTCAACACGTGCGCTAATGATTCAACTGACCCTGCCAAATGCATGGATAGAGGGACTCCCCCCCCGTGTGTTGGAATTCGGGGATCTTTGGAAAAAGTTGGTACATACCAGTCGTCAAGGCAACAGATTGACCGGAGACATGAAATACATTCGCAATTTGCCCCTCATCATTGCACCAATTGCGCACTCGCCCAACAAGGCTATTACCAGACTTGAAACATGGACGGAGGTGGGCATTCAGCACGTCTTGAAAATGCCAGGGCAGGAAACTTTACCAGTGCAATACGCGTTTCAAGTAGAAGACAACTTTGAAGAGATCGAGCAAATTGGCGAGCTAAAAGTGGTGGCATAATGTGTAGCTTGGATCCCGTTCAATAAACCGAGCTTCGATGGGTTTTTTCAATAAGCAGATTGGCTGAATATCGGCTCACAAGCGTTTGGAATTCAAGAATCTGGCTTTGCTTTATTTGTAACTAGCTTTCGTGGACTTCGATGGATTGGGTTTCGATGAGTAAATTTAATAATTAGATAGTTAATAATCTAAAAATAAACTTTGCGAATTTCATTCTCTACAATGTACTCTTATATCTCTAAGAATTAATCTTGAAATCTTTGTCTTGTGAGAACTTGTCTAGATTTCATACAATATTTGTTAACCCTAATCCTAGATGAAGATGAAGGTGAAGTGATAGTCCTTGTAGTGAGATCGGAGGAAGACACAGAGCTGAGAACAGTGGTATCTGATGGAAATGTAGTAGCTGAAGAAATATTAGAAAGAGTTGAATCTGATTGATATCTGTTTGATGAGGTAGAGCCTGGCTCGGATGTTTGTGGAGTAGATATACTAGAAAACCTTGAAGGGAATGCGGTGAATGTATGCAGAGTACTTTCTGAGTTAGATGAGGTTATTGAAAAATTGATGGATGATATTACACCGCTAGTAAAGGTCCTACTGGAAGCAGAGGTAGTTATGGAAGAAAATTCAAAAAGGCGCGTGTCTGAGGAGTATACAGTTATGGAAGAACTTTTGGGTCTATAAGATGATGATGTCGGAACGGAAATCAATGTCGTGACTGGATGTACTGATAATGCGGAGCTGATAGTACTGGCATGACTACACGCAATGAAGCCCGCAAACAAAAGATTTGGCACGGAATAATGCATCTCATATACAGTTCGAAGTAAATTCGACCTTGATTCTCCGCATGATGAGAAGAAATTATGCAATGCGATCTACTCTTATACTACCCATGGCCAAAGATCTGTAAGTAATGCCAAGCACCCAAACTTCCCCTTGCTTCCGTCTCGCGCTACCGTTGAAACATCCAGATCGCAGCACACCAGTTCTTGTCTTAAAATCGCCATTCCCAATGAATTCCAATTCCTGGTCCCGCGTGTTTCTTAAGCCAATCCAACTATACGCACTCACATCAGCTTTCTTTGTCCATATGGTCTGGTACATGTAAAGGATCAAGCTTACAAACTTTTCAGCTGCACTTCTATGCCGTTTCTTGGGTGGAGTAGGTGGACAAGGATCGGGAATTATGGGGTAATTTGGGTTAGTTGGAGGGGTATCTGGATTTGTCGGAGGGGAATCTGGAGTAGGCATATCTGGATCGTAACCGTCGGCACTATTGGCTAATTGTATTGCTTGAATGATTGTGTCGTCAAGTGAAAGGTAGTCTGTATTGTTGAATACAGACTCCCAGTAGGCCACTTTGCATAGCCAACGTTAGCTTATTCGTTAAAAATAGGAAGCCAAAGAACTAATTCATGAAACCCACTAGCAGCTAGAAGAGCAGCGTCATCATCTTCGTCATTTCTCGCTACCAGAGTTGGGCATGCACTCGAAGAGCTGGCTGAAGAGCTACCGCTCGTCGCAGATGTCGCAGCAGTGATTTCTATCACTGAAGTTGCGGAAGTAGTTGGCGGATGGTTTGATATACTGGAAAGCGAGCTCAACCCCGAGGAAATAGGTGAGAACCAGCTGTGAGCTGAGATGCTAGTAGTAGATGAGACAATTATAGAGCTACTCTGAGTTAGGGAAGGAGTAGCCAAGTAGATTGGAGTCGTAACCGCGGATGAAGATCCAGAGGAAAGACTAAGACATTGTACGAGTGGGAGAATTCCCACGAGAATAATTTGGGGGTACATCAAAATTTAAATCACTTTAAAGACTTGCGATAGGATTAAAATAAGCTGAGAAGAGAACTATGGATACTTGGATGCAACCTTTTAACAAAGCTAATTACCTTTTATATTGAAAAACGTCGTAGTGGTGCTGTTGCCAAAAATGTAGAGTCTATTTTATTATCAGCCTCCATATCTGGAAAAATCTGGCTCCAGCCATGTCTTAGACTACCTTCATGTTTTTCCAAAGTCTGAATTTGAGGAAGGGGTCGCAAATTGTGATCCCCAAAAGGTAATAATTAGGTAGGTATATAAAGTAACAAATATCGTGGACGAGGAAAAGAATTTACCGAAGGAGTACCAACACCTGAGAATTCTGGTGCTGTTCGACTTTAGTAGGATTTCTCTTCTCCTAACTTCACCTTGCGATCGCCTGCATAAGGGTGTAACTTAAAACATATCATTTCACCGGTGGGTGTACGGACTGACGGGACACTACAAAAAAGTACTTGTGGATATCTCTTGATATGTCTACTCGTATGTATATTTTAGAAATTGGTGCAATTATTTTGTCGAGATGAAACAATCAAACCATAAATTCTGATATCAAATAATCCAAGAATGAATTTGTTATAAGATTTGATACTTGGGAAGTCTCTCGTCAATCCATGTACCCGCTGGTGTTCCTAATTCTAGAGAACATCCACTATTATCATCTAGCACTTTGGCTTACTAAAGGTCGAAATAACTCCCATCATTGCATACCTTGGAATGTGCATGTTGAATCAGTTAAGGTTTTCTATTAATACCACATAACTGCACAGTTTGAACATCTTGAAGACAAAAAGTAAGTAGTAAAGAGCTCAAATTCATTTCTCGTGGTTGAGTTTTGGAATGAGCCCGTCCGCCGAAGAACTTCCAATCTTCGAGAGCTATAATAAGTTTTGACTAAGGCCAATTAACATGAACGATGCGAGCAAAATCTGATACTTTAGATCGTTCAGGATTCTAGAACCCCAAAGCATCATAAGCCGTAAGTGATTGATATTGATAGAACAGGTAAAGACAGAGGAATTTTGAGCAAGCCAAACGAATGTCAAATGTGCCAAAGATAAGCAGAATTCCTCTTCAGACCCCCTTGGACTGCATCAAAAATCGCCGTCCAATAATTCCTTGTCCAAAGAAATGTAAAATGTAACTTTCCCAATGTTTTATCAAATCACAAATGACGTCCATCCAACCATTCTTGAAGTCCGTCAAAAATAGGCGCGAACACTTTGAGCTATCATTAAAGTAAAACTCATTAGTCTCATATATCATTACTGCTCCATATCAGGTAAACTCACAATAGCGACTAAATTCTTGAAATCTTGACACTCAGTAAGACCGTCTTCAATAGCTTTATCTATTACTGGCTTTGCCTTCTCTATCTCATCATATATACGAATAAGCTTTCTTAGTTTCTCGACTGTTGTATATAATGATTGATTAACGTTGTTCAGTAATTTTGCTAGAAAAAGAAGGCTATAAGCTGAACTCACTTTGGTCTGGTGTTAGCTTGGGAGGGTCAGCACGTTTCCCCATGCGGTGACTACCATAGCTTGGTATATCTGTAGGAACAGTAGTGGGTTCTGTCCAGGTGAATGTTGGAGATACGCAGGTGCTTGATGATGAAGATGTGGTAGTTGTGGGGTATACATAAGTAGTGGGTTCTGTTGTAGTTGGCGCTTCGCTAGTGGTTAGTATAGAAGTCGTTTGTTCTGTGAAAGTCGACTTGCTCGCTGGATAAGAGGCATATGTGTGATAAGTAGGAGTTGTGGAGTAATCAGTGGTTGTTATCTTGGTGCTAGTTGGATAAGTAGTAGAGGCCAAGGTGGTGGGAGAGTAATAGGTTATGGGAGTGAAAGTAGAGGTAACCACACTGCTAATACCCTCGTAGTAGAAGATATCACAAAGGGTGATACGGAAAAGCACCGCGAGAATAGCAGCGAAGGAGTGGGAATGTATTTTTTCCCCAAGTGATCTACAGAATGAATGGGTATTTGAGAGAGATGATATAAATAGCTAGTGATAGAAATGTCAAAATTGATGCTTACTAGATATCTAAAAGTCAGGTTGTTTATATAGACTGACTCTCCTGTTCATGACTACCGTCACGGCTTCACCGCTCCCAAAGATTTTAATCCATGCTGCAGCAGATGAGCCAGCTGAAAATAGGCGTACACAATCCATCATTTAGTGAGTTGATCACAACTCAGTACTTTCATCCAACTGGACTCTTGCCTTAAAAGCATGAATTCCAATCCAACGATCCCGAAATAATCGTTTTTCAAGAATTTTCTATGCAAAGTATCAAAGTCGTAACTCGAAGGCCGATAATACCAAGAGAGAAACTACGAGCGGGAACTTTCTACCGCTTCCGCCAACTCAGAACTTCCCTCATGCCACAAGACGACGACTACATCCCTTACTTTCATAAAGCCACCCCGCAGTCGACATCGCTCGCACTCGCTTAGTGGCCTTGAAGGATGTCTAAGACAGCTAACCAAGAGAATAGAGAAGATCCGAAAGAAACAGACTAAGTCACTTCGAGCTCACACTAAGAACAGCAAAATCTCAATGCCAATTCAAGCAAATCCCGATATAATTATTCATAAATTCATCACAAATCTTTGAGTGAAAAAATTCGAGCGCCTAGAACAAAACTTCTGCCTCTCGAAGAAAGCAACATCTCGAAAACAACGAAGTGCAGGCGAGAACAATCATGCAGATGTGTTAGACACCTGCCGTCGATATTTGGTATACCTCTGCTGGCATACCAATCAACATCACTTGCGCAAATCCAGCACGAATGACACCAAAAGTATGGCGCATCAGGTACCGACAGTAAAATTCGAGTAGCGGCAATCACCAGCGGATGCCGAATCAACTTCCCCGAAGCAAGACATTACATTCCAAGCATTCCAACACCGCGTGTGCTTTACTTGGCCAGAACTACTCATACGGCATTAACCCATATATCCTTTATACCGGGAAAAGTAGGGCTGACAATGTGAATCTATGGTATTCAAGCTTTTCACAGAATGTAGATAACTCTACGGCGGGTCATGTTTACGAGGCTGAGATTGATAATTCCCAGTTAGGAAAGGTACTCCTGAATTGTTCTTTCCGCCAATGTCCTGTCCTGGTATGTTTGAAGTAACCAATAATATCTACCGTATATTCATCATACACATAAACCGACTCTTTGTACTACGTCATCACTTTCTTTTCGTTGCTCCATCTTTCTTAGAACTTCCTGTAGCTTTACCAATAACTGCATCTGCCTTATTTTCGGCTACCTTGGCACCTTCAAGCCCCTCCTTGACGCTCGCATCAGCGCCTGGGATACTCTTCAAAGGTTGATTGGCAATCTTCTCCTCAACCTCTTCATCGTCACCTCCTTGTCCAAACTCATTGACTCTGGTGTAGTCAACCTTATACTTCCAACTTTGATAAAGGTAAACAAAAAAGATGACATCATCTCTGAGTGTTGCCAAACGATGTAGTGTTGGCATCTTAATAGTGAATGCAAAAAGATCGTCGATGAATGTATTCAAGAACTTGTACATCATAGCTCTACCTGGCATATGTGCAACACTCTTGAGTCGGTAGTTGATGTACAATGAAGGGACCATCATCAAGAATCCGTATGCGTAGACGGATCCGACAAGAGTTGCGATTACGAAAGAGTACCAAGATTTGTGACTTTCGTATTTCAAGGAGTATGCACCATAGGCGATGAGAAGTGGAACAGCAATCATGTACATATACTTGAAAGCAACTGCATCATACTCCTTGGTCTTTTCTTCCGTCTCGGAGAGAACATGCTTATCTTCAAAAGCGATGCGGTATGGTATGATCGAATTTGGTGCATCGCGAATACGAACATTGACCACCGTGGTGATCTTCCAGAACTCGAGTACGATCCCCATTCCTTGAGTGAACAAAATCATCCAACCTGAATAATTGTGAGTACTTATATCTATGAACATAGGCTAAGATATAAACTTACTAGTATTCTCATTGTTGTCCATCAAGTACAAGAAAATAACACCTTGCATGAAGACGTTTCCGAGAATTGAACGAACTGAGATTCCAACATTGTTTTTCTTGTTTCGGTAATGGCTAATATCGGATTTGAAGGCCATCATCTCAAAGATCATATGAAAAATACTAACAATAACCGTGGTGGCCAAAAGATAGATATTGGTATCTAATAAAACTTCCTTGATCATCTCAAACTCACTACCGTCTCCGCCACCGGGTGGTGCTTGTCCTTGAGCAGCATTTCTAGCGGTTTGTTTCGCGCCTTCGTCCATACTTGCCATCAAGGTAAATTTCCAATTGGCAAAGTTCTGGAGGTCAATATGAATGGGAAGTCTGGTGACTGTTGAATTGAGAACTGTCATGTGAGTCTTCAGTTGCCAAAAAGTGTTGACGAAGAGTAGTGGATAGTACCATCCATTGAGTCCGGTGCCGTCTCTAGCTCCACTTGCCTCCAAATGAACATATTGACGAACAGCAGGATGTAAAGATGGAAAGTCCATGACGCCAGAATCTGGAATGAAGGACATTGTAAAGTTAGGATGATAGTGAGATTTGATTACAGGTCCAGTAGGAATTTCCTCTTCAGGCTAATCAATCGTTAGTGGAGTAGTTTGAAATTGAATACTTAACAAACTCACCTCATCGGTCTCTTCAGCAGCTGCCAAAAGATTCTTGGTCTTTCTTATTTTCTTTTGCGCAATGTATTGGGTGAGAGGATGCACAAAGTGAAATGCCTTTGTGGGATCATAGCCGGGAGTAGCAGGATCTAATTTACTTCCAGAAATTCCAATATAGAAATGACCCCAAAGTGTGCCATTATTCTGCACCTCAGACGGAACATCGAAGCTTGCATCAATTGATCGGTGTTGGTTGTAATCTCCAAATGCGAATCCAGTCTCATCCAGTACGATTCTCTCCTTTGGTACTTTTGCAATAGGTTCCGCGACAAAAGTGGGGGATACAACAATAGTGATATCAAGAGGACTATCCGTAGGCCACATCGGTGCAATTCTCTGAGGAATGGGACTCCATACTGCTCCTTCATCTAATTTGTCTGGTCGCGCATAGTATGGGGGGATTTCACCATTATTTGCTGGAACTTTCATAACTACTCCAGAGGCATCGGTTGTAGTAGCAGTCGCAGGCCCCTTATTTCCAGTTATTTGCTTCATCAAGAATTGCATACCAACGAAAATGGCGATGCCTTGCACGGCGGATTTGATCATAGGCTGTTCATGACATTGTCAGTAAGTTTTATCGGGCAGCTCTAGGAGGGACTCACACTCATACCGCCTTCCTGGGCTTGCGCACCCGCAGCTGGAGGAGCTGTTCCGGATGGCATATTGAAGATGATATGACTTCTTCAAATATTTGTTGAGGTATAAAAGTCAACTGGTACGTTGTCTAGATGTGAATAATTATGGATAGCTTACGGCACAATAATAAGCTAACGCGACGGAACAATTTTGGTGCCGATCACCGAGAAGCGATCCCGAATTATACGTTTAGGAACGTGACATGAAAATATCTATTTCAATATGCTCAGATTTGGGCCTTGGGATTTCGCAAAAGATAATAAGATTTGGATTACACATACTCGGAAGCGTTTTGAATATTTATGACATTTGAGCATCCACATATGTAATTCTCAAGCACTGAGGAGGTAGGTATCAAGCCGGTGGCTCAATAGATTTTAAGTTACACAGGAAAATGGGATAGTCTCTTTAAGGCACGCAATCGTCCTTTGGAAAGACAAATTTGGGTAAACTCCAAGCAAAGAAACCCCAAACCCATAGATACCCTACCCAATAATGCCATCTCGAGTCTTTGCTCCATCCATAGCGTCTTAGAATTTCCTTCCCCAATTTCTGAACAAGATCTTCAGCAATAATTGCACAAGGACATAGGGAATACCATTGAAATATGTGGCTTACTCCACAGTTCGGAAGTTTCATTTTTGCTGGAATATATATCATGGCATGCATACATGCAGAGACGAAGAACACCAAATACAGCATGGCGATTTTGTTGAACCTAGAATTCTGGGGAATACGAAATATCTTTAAGGATATCAATGATGCCCAAGCGATAAAATCTCGACGCAAGAATTGATGCCAAAAAACGCTGGGAATGAAAATAAATATTAGCATGGACTGCATTCCTTATGGTCATATAAAAATATCACGTACCCCCAATATCTTCGGATGGTATATGCTTCCGTCAATAATCCATAAACAGGATAGTTCCAGCCAGGTATAGCTTTGGCACCACCAATGAATACCGCCACTGCAGATATAAAATAATGGTGTGCAGAAATACTAAGGATCTCAGGCAGAATCCACAAAACAGGTAATGATATTCTTATACCTATCTCTCGTATGGTAACATGGCTTATTCTCCGGAAGAACTGCTCTTTCTCCGGGCCATAATCACCAACCTGGAGACGAGCTTGGTAATTTCTTTGAAGGATGTTGACTATTCCCTAGAGGAGATAGTGAAATAATGCCATGAGTGATCTGCTAATGACAAATACATTTGGATCCGTCAGGTGAGCGAATTTTGTCATTGGGAATAGCGACAGGTTTCTCGGCTGGGAATTCGTTCCAATCTGTCTTGAGTTGAGATATGCATCCGCGGCCCATTTAAGTCTCTGCTTGAATGTTGCGGCAGAAAAATTCGGCGACTCTAGTCTGAATAATCCATAGTTAATGGTGCCCATTATGTGGCCTGCAAGCACATAACTTGTGAAACGTGAATAGGAACCGACATTTGATTTTCCATAGTATAAAGCGACGCAACCATAGATGAAGAAAAGTAAAAATGGCCATGCTCGCCACGAAAATCGTGGAGGAGTATAGATCATTATTAGGCTACCAAGAGTATAAGACAATGCTAGTGACAAAATTGGGCAGTTAAAAATTGGATTACCTAATTTGGATTAGCTATGTTACAATCTGAACGATCAATATGCACATCTAAACAAACCTCCAAGGTAAGTGTGTAAGTTTTGAAGAATCGAGAGATCCATGATTGCTGTCTCTGTCTGGAACCGCGAAATCTCCCTTGGAGAAAAGGTGTTTATTTTAACGATTCAGGAGGTCTCGAGGAATATACAATAGAATTGAAGGCGTGTACGGGTAGAGAGAAGACGGAGGCAGACATATAATTCTGGTATTTGATCGAGAGATGTTGCTTCAGACGACACACTATTCGAGGCGATTGAATCATCTTCATCAATTAAGATAGTAAAAATGACCGGGCAGGAAGTGTTGTGATTGTGATTGCCTACCTACCATGCAGTGAATCATGATCATAAAAAATAGATCGACCGCTCACGCGCTTCCCACTAGCGTCACTAGAGCACCAAAAAAGCTGTAACAGTCAAAACTCAGTCCAGCAGAGCGTGACGCTGGGCTGGGTATCAAAATAAAAATAAGATTTCAATCAATAGTAGTAACGTACAGACCGGCAAAACCTTGCCGCCCCATAAGAGGGGCGGGAGGAGAAACCCCCGCGGGGTTTTTTTCCGAACCAGGCGATGTTACCACTCCACCACAAGAGCGCATTTGACCTGACCAAACAAGCCTGTTTGACGCCTTTGCACTCTCGATGGGAATGTTTCCTTAAGACGCCTTATATAGTACCTAAGCGCATTTTGCCTCCGTAGGAAAATTCACTGATTATTTTTAATAGTCGAATTCCAGCCACCCATCAATAGCAATCCAAGCTATTGCGATATTTGGAATTGAAGTGAACCGCGAATTAAATATAAAACAAATAGAGTCAATTAGATCGGGGTCCTATTTATCGGGGCTTTCTTGCGTACAGAGACTCGTCCAAATATTGCATGAACAGCTGAACTCGGGTAATCAATGTTTTGACGATCGCTCTGAATCGCCACGCCAATAACGAACCAGTCTTTTGAACGATATTTATATTCGGATCTAGGTGAACTCAAGGATCATCTTTGACAGACAAAGTGGTGGTGGCGATCTTCGGTCAGTCTCAACACAGCCCCACACTTGTGATGGCGTTGAGCTCGAATTGATGATGAAGACTTATACTATCAATGGAGGACCCTAGAATATAGGATTTTTCAGATCAGACATGACTAGCGTACACGATTGCACCGGCCTCTGAGTACTGATATGGCAGGATAGATGTCTGATTCAAGTTCGTTTGAGCACGAGAACTCACCGAGTGCTTCGGATTCAGGAGCTCATGGGGCACTCTCGATAAAATTGAAACCGACGAGATCAAAAGAATCGTGATCGTCTCATGTGACCTCTTCTTCTTTCCATCAACGATAAACCAGCTGGTCTGGACATGGAAATGAACAAGAACGGAGGTACAACTTTTGCGCTGGATCGACCTACCCGGACAGGGTGCTGACGACAAGTAGAGTATATCAAAGTATATATGTTATCACCGAGTAAATCTGAGAAGGTCATTGGAGTTGAAAAGCAAAACAATACCCGAGTAAGACTTCGGATGTTAGTAGTGCTTATCCGTATTTATGAGGAACTATTAGCTAATTCATGCAGTGATGCGACTCGTGAAAGCAAACTAAACCCAACTCATGCAGTGAGATAACCGTTACACAAACACTATACATACTAGGTAAGCTTACATAGCTTATTACTTGAATCGACGAGGCAGAATCGCCCATTGACATTTGACAGATGAATTTTCTCACGATTCTTACAAAAATGGTTTCTATCATTTTATATCTTGACGTCGGTACATGCACACGTGGTTTATCACTAATCGCCGCTAATCAGCCCTAAGCACAGTTAGTTAGCATTTATATCTGGCCCCTGATACCCCACTATTCCATATCATGTAAGCTAAACCTTATTTAATTGATTTCTGCCACCGCCTGGGGAAAATTACACCGCCAGATCTTTGTCCTCCTTGAACACAATATCAAAAAAGCAACTTTTTTTTCCTTCCTCTCTTTTGGAAAATCTCTACCTGGGAATCACAAGGGAAGTACGGAGGAAACCCTCTCAAATTACAAGGCAGGTGCAGACAAGTTACGATGTTGATTCAGAAACCCTTAATACTCTTTATTGATGCATATGATTCATTCTCGAATAATATCATTTCTCTCCTTGAAACTTCACTCACCGCCTCAGTGCGAACGGTCAAAATCAATGATCCTATCCTATTAGCATCTGATGAAGCATTACACGAAGAATTAAGACATTATGTAGCGGTAGTATGCGGGCCGGGCCCTGGAAATCCGGAGACGGACAGTGATATCGGGATTATAAAGAAAATCTGGAGACTTGCCGATGAGGAGATGTTGCCAGTATTGGGTATTTGTTTAGGATTTCAAAGACTATGTTTGGAATTCGGTGGACAAATAAGGAGATTAAATGGTCCACAACATGGAATGATCAGAAAGGTTCTACATGCAGGAGAAGTCCAAGCAGTCTCCGCCGTTGGAAATGATTCAATATTCTGTGGGGTTGGTGAGATTACCGCTACCTTGTATCAAAGTTTATGTATCGATATAGGCCAGGACGACATTCTAGATGAAGAATGGAACACATCACGATGGGAGGCAACAGAAAAATCTCCCGATTTGATACCATTGGCTTGGGTTGAAAGTGCCGATCTAGAGGCTGAACATGCGAGAAGTTGCGGTGTGAAGGACAGCAGAGTTTTGGTCGGTGTACGACATGCAACGAAACCCTTTTGGGCAATACAATATCATCCTGAGTCGGTCTGCACAAATGATACAAGCAAAGAAATCTTTATAAACTGGTTCAAGTCGGCACAAGATTGGAACAAAACTTTCAGGAAGACGGAGATAAATTACGACGGTACAATGCACGGCCAATCTGCTACACGAGTGAGCCTTCTCCAACAATTCGAAGCTTTACAAACAATGCCTGTATCTCCGAATTGCGACACCTCGACCGACAATATGAAACCCAAAAACATGTGCATTTCTCGAACAATTAATTTGCCAGAAAATCTATCTGTGCCTGACATTGTGGAAGCCATCCAGGACATGGGACGAGATCATATTCTACTGGAATCCACCAATGCAGACGAAACCTCCGCAGGATCTGCCGATGTGAAAGGACGATATAGTATCATAGGCCTGGACATTGATGATTGTTTGAGATTCGAATATCGTGTCGGGGACGGATATCTAACCAAGATACCCTCTTCATCCGGAAAATATCTCGATACTAAAGAGGAGATTGATTTAAAGTCTTGTGGTGGAGTTTGGTCTCTGTTAGCACATCGACTGGAGGTTGCGCGTGTTACTGCAGGCAATGACGAATCGCCTTTCTGGGGAGGTTTTATGGGATATACGACATACGAGCTGGGTCTGGAAACTATTGATGTGAAAGTCGATAGACCAGATGCTCATAGCAACCGACCAGATCTCTGCTTTGCATGGGTCACTCGAAGCATAGTCGTTGACCACGTGAAGAAGGTTCTCTACCTCCAACAATTGGCCAGCCTTGGTGATAGCCAAAGCGACACTGCTTGGATGGAAGCGGTTGGCCCTAAACTTGAGAAAGCGTCCCAACCGAAATCCCCAAAAAGCACTCGCCAAACTCCCCTCCGACCAGGTGATCTCGTCTTATCTTGCGATCGCATAAAGGTTTCTCGTCGAGAAAAACGAGCTTGGTCACCAGTTCGTACCCCCGCTTCGAAGTTTTCCATGGCTATCACTCAACCTACAGCCGATTCATATGAAGCAAAGGTCCGCCGATGCCAAGATAAGATTGCCAGCGGTGACTCCTATGAGTTATGCCTCACTGATCAAACCACCATCACCCGCCTTCGCAGCGACCCCCCTCACACATCAGTCCACAATACCACTGAGTCAATCCTACTGTACAACAAAACTCCAAGACCAGCTCCAGTCAAGGGCGCCTGGTCTTTGTACAAAAATCTTCGTACACGTCAACCCGCCCCCTTCGCTTCTTTCCTTCGCCTTGGTTCTGCGACTTTAGTTTCTAGTTCCCCAGAACAATTCCTTAAGTGGGACAACCGTGTCGGAAAATGTTCTCTTCGACCTATGAAAGGCACCGTTCGTAAGACTGATGAAGTAACAATTTCAGACGCCACCGCACTCCTTGACGATCCAAAAGAAAAGGCTGAGAACCTCATGATTGTTGATCTCGTTCGTCATGATTTACATGGTGTCTGTGGGTCTGGCAACGTTTCTGTTCCACGATTGATGGTGGTTGAGGAATATGCATCAGTTTTCCAGATGATTTCTGTTGTCGAAGGTTCTTATACCAAATCCGGATCCGATGATATGTCGACACAGATGTCATCACTTACCATCAAGGATGACAAGAAAACAGCATACACTGGACTCGACATTTTAGCAGCCTCTCTCCCACCAGGATCTATGACTGGCGCGCCAAAGAAACGCAGTTGTGAACTTTTGCAAGATATCGAACACCACAAACCTCGTTCTCTATACTCTGGTGTTGTAGGATACATGGATGTTGGTGGCCGCGGTGATTTCAGCGTTACTATCCGATCAATGTACCGTTGGGACGATGAAGATGGCGTCATAGAAGCCGAAGAAAAGGATACAGAGAAATGGCACATTGGTGCGGGCGGAGCTGTTACGGCTCTTAGTACCCCCATTGGCGAGAGAGATGAGATGTTAACAAAGCTTAATGGAACGCTTGGAGTGTTTCGTTGAATGAGATAAAGATTTTCTTCATACGACGCGAGTCGATTGGTTTATGCATAATGAAGGAAGATTTTCCGGAGTTATTCATGAGGCTATTCAATTTTCTTGGTTTCTTGGGATATTTTCAGATACAAATTTACGGTAAAGTCCCCAGTTCGAGATACTTCAACGTATCGTATCTATCATAAAGAGAGCGGGGCATTGACGACTTATGACCTTGGGATGGCGCTTTCGTGTATTGGATATGGATTGGATAGGAACAGAGACTTGAACATGGAGTGCAGAAAATCTCAACGAAGACATATATCTTTTTATAGAGAGAGAAAAGAAAAGGTCCGCAAGGATTT